TGTGCAAAACATCTGTGCAGCTCTAGTGCGACGTAAATGAACAACAACAACAACATCCTTATATTATTGTATTAAAGTAGTTTTAAAGTACTTGATCGGTACTTTTTGGCGGTTTTCAGTATTTGGCAGCGATTGTTTTTAAAAGTTATTGACGTTACCTATATAGTATTAGGGGCTGGATTAATTAAACTATCCCCTGAATAATACATAAATACTGAAAAAATTATGAAAGAAAACAAAAGTTTTGAAAAAAAATTTTTATTTTTTTTTGCAATTAATGTGAATTATTGAAAAAATTGGCCAAATATTTTTTTCGAAAATCTACGAAAATCAACGAATAACATTTGATTATGTCGAAATCGATGGAACTGTTATATCAGAATCAGTTCACTTATTAGATTGAAAACAAAATAATTTTTTTTTATTTTAGACACCAATCCAATTATATTTTTTTTTACAAAATTAAATTTTACCTTTTTACACAGATCAAAGTTTTATTTTTTACTCCAATCGGAGTTCAGTTTTTTCATTGAATTTCGGAGCAATGTAAAAAAAAGAAAATGAAATATTTCTAACAATCAAACCTTTTCTTAAAACTGCAAAAAGAATTTGCACGCTGCTGCCAAATTTAAATACTTGGATAGTAATATATAATACTACAGTAAAATTGCGCATATGTTACGGTGAATGTCCGAAATGGGTGGTTTAACACGGTGAATGTTGACAATCACTTTAGTAAATGTCCGAATTGATAGAAATGGTATTGTAATATTCAAGAATTAAGATAATGGTTCAGCATTCCTTTTAACGGTTTAGAAAAAATATAAGTTGTTTTTTTATTTTTCTATCATAGGCCCTAATGTCGACAAACGAGACGGATAACTGGGAAGCAGATAAAACAATGAGTTTTCTGAAACATCAACAGCGCCAAGATGGATCTTTCGGAGATTTTTTGGCCACCTATTGGGTACTTCCCGCTTTGAGTGGAAGAAGTCTGCTACATCTGAGAAACATGAACTGCAATCCTGCCAAAAAAGGTCTGAATTACTTATTTCTGAATTTCACTCATAATGAGTCGTTTTTCAAAGATGTCACAATAAAAGTTATCTTTTAATTATTAGGGCGCTTCCTTACGCTTTTGTTGGCGTGATTTACGCTACAAAGGGGCCTCCCTTGCCGAGCGGTATCGTCCGTCAAACGCACTGTGAACGCAGCGGGTTCGAATCCCGCCGTAACCAGTGATGTCCCATCTGTCCATCGACTTGACAAAGGTTTATAATCCTAAATTGAACAAACAAGCCTGCAAGTGTATGTAATTTCAATAAAGCAATAATACGCTACAAGCAAGCTGTTTACAACTGTTTGTTTTCTATTCAAATCTGCCTTCGAACTGAAAATATGGACTTGGAATGCGAATTTAGAGAAATACATGGATGAAATTTAGAAATGAGAATCGTGCGAGCTTACATCCATTTGGTTTATTCAATGAAAAAATTTTTTATTAGTTTTTGTTTAACATTATGGTCGTCTGATTGCACTAGTTCCATAAGAAACTAGATAGATTTTTTTTCCATTTCAAAATTATAATTATATCAACTATACAATTTCGTTAAAAGAAGTTAAATAATCGATAGAAGTTCAATAATACGTTTTTAAATATTAATAATAAAGCCGACCGGTCTGTGTAGGGGGCAGGGAACTGTCCTTGCATCAGAAAGGTTCTGGGTTCGAATCCCGGGCAAGGCATGGATCTCCTTTGTGTGTGAATGTGACCCTCCCTATAAACGGGTTGTGATAGTGTGACGTGGGTGACGCTGCTCCATCGCTGTGGTTTCGCCACAGGTGGCCACTGGGTAACGAAAAGAGAATTAGCAGTTCTGGCAATTTCTGTGGCCAATGGGCAATAGTTCCATGTGCCCGCCATTAAAAAAAATATTTATAATTACATGCTGCATACTTTATCGCTAAATAAATCGAAATCTACAATCGACCAAATTTTTCTGCACACAGACTTTAAATCAATAACAAATTATTAAGCAGAAATACAGAAAATCTAACTTGTTCAACGGAAAATTTACAGCAATTTTCCAATCAAAGGAAAATTTTCAGCCATTTTCCAAAATCGCGTTCCACCGCCAGCCGATACATATAGTTAGTCTAAAGTAAGAACTCCCCTAGACATTCGTCTGGACCCATGGTGGTGACTATGGTAACGAGATATAACTATTTCAAAAAGGGGTGTAGGGTCACTATTTAGGACAGGTTTTGGCTCGGGTCGTTGAGAGAAAGGTCATCTTTTTCTCCGGTCTATTATTGTGTGAAGAGAAGCTACCCTCCTTGAAATGAGCTATTCTTGTTTCCATAGCAGAAGAATCCCTCAGATTTTGTGGCGGAGGGAGTTATTACCGTAGACAAACTATATCATCTCTCTTCCCACAAGTAGTGATCCCACCACTCTGAAATGTAATCACTGGTGTGTGATTATGCACAGGAGAATTATGACCAGTAAAAAAGTCATTCAAGATGTCCACACTCTAACACACCTGGCTTTATTTTAAAGGATGACAAAGCAAGCCATAATAAACGTCTTTCATATACAAAATTATCTCTCAATCAAAATCGTCTATCCTCACATATTCCAAAAGAATTAACATATTTTACCCATTGTCAAAATGGGTCTTGTTTTGGATTTGATGGCGTTCACACACTTTTCAACTGTGTTCCAGAGTAATAGCAAACAGTGCGCATGCGTCGTCATTGTATGCGTTGCTATGGTGACCGCTGCTGTTTTTCTTTCTATTTTCACTAGCAGACATTTTTAATGTATTAACACAATAATAATTTAAAGTATTTTTTTAATTCTTATTATTTTTTAACTTATAATGACTGGCTTGACGGTGATTTAAATATAAATGCTGAAGAAGGAAAAACGTACATAAGGCATGATATGAAAACCAATCCGACGACAAACATCAAATGGAGACAGCAACCCATGCTTTGAAATGTTTAACGGAGTCAATCCAGAAAGAAAAAGCATTTGACCCATGATCACAACTTTTTTTTTATATTGTCTCTTGACACCATAAAATTTTAATATAAAAGAACATTTCAATGAAACTTTTCGGCATAACATTATGTCCTTATGCAGCATTAAATAATGTCATTGAATTTTATAAAATTAACGAGTAATAATAGATTATTTCATTTTTACCCTGTTTAATACATTTAATTCACTAGATATATTATTTTTCGTTATTTTATAATAGCTTACAATTTCTTTTTTTTTTTAAATGCAGAACTAACACCGAAGGAAATCCTAGAATTCGTAGGACCAAAGCAATACGTCCACTATTCCCTGTATTTCGGATATCCACTTGTTAATTCTCAATCATTATTTCTTTATTTACCACAAGGAATAAACTTCTTGGATGTGATGAGAGTTGCTGAATACCAGGATCCAAATTTCAGGTGACTTCTCTTACTCTAGAATAAAACCTTACAAGGGTTAAACTGTAGAATCGGGGGTTTGGCAACACATTTCAATTGTAAAATTTTGCTGAAACTCAATTTCTGGTTACCGTGATATTATTTTTTTGATCTCTCTGCTTTTAATGACGTCAGCATCAGGTTACCACAATTTCTATTTACCGTTATGTAATTAGTTCATTTTCATATGTATACACATAGGCATGTTATCAAATCGTTAAATATCAGAGGGCCCCCCCCCCCGATTCTACACTTTAACCCCTTACAAAGAAACGATATTTTTACAGAATAACCAGTTACAGACCCAGAAAGCATGTCTCCTTACGACAACCTTGTGTTGGAGTTCATTTACGTCGCACTAGAGCTGCACAATGGGCTATTGGCGACGGTCTGGGAAACATCCCTGAGGATGATCCGAAGACATGCCATCACAATTTTGATCCTCTGCGGCACCCCCGTTTCGGTAGCCCAACGACCTGCACGCGAAGTCGAGCACTTTACGGTAGCACGGTTTTACGAGGACCAATACCGCACACCCTCGGTCCCTACGCAGACTGATCCATGTGGGTCACCCACCCGCACACTGACCGCAGCCAGTGATGCCTGACTTCGGTGATCTGCTGGGAACCGTGTCTTAATGATCAGTTCACTGCGGGACACCTTGTGTTGGAATTTTCTTTTATTGTCACGGAAATGTTTGTACAGTAGGGAACCGATTATCCGGAACGATCGGGACCATCGATATTCCGGATAACTGATTTTTCCGGTTTTCTGAATCGCTACAAAAAGCCGCTTTTTTATAGTAAAACCCAACTAAAAAAAAATAAATGGAAATAATCTTAAAAAGAAGAAAAAACGATGAAGTAATACACTAATGATTATTTCCAAAATGATGGTAAGTTAAACATCTTACAAAAAAGAACGAAAAATCCTAAAATCTTATGAGGAAAAAAAAATTTTTTTTTTTAAAAATGACGGGAAAACTAATCGAATTTCGTTCCGGTTTTCTGATTTCCGGATAACGGGTTCTGTACTGTACTAAAAACCTTCTTTCACTAAAGTAAAAATATTGCAGTTTCAACATCCTAAACGGATAAAAATTACTTTTTTAAATTATTTTAATGAAATGGTCACTTAGATCCAGTGCCGTTCCTGGCGGGTATGCAGCGAATGCCCCGCACGTAGGCGCCCAATTTAAGGGGCTCCAAATTCAACTATTAAACTATATACATAGTATATAGGGGCGCACAAAATTATTCTTGCACGCAGGCGTTCGCCACCCCAGGAACGGCACTGCTTAGATCCATAATGACGCCTTAGCTGACGTCACACTAGTGATAGGATCAAATCGCATTGTCCATTAAAATTTCATGACAAGGTGGATTTTAGCTGAGCATACAAGACGTTGCGAAAATAAACCTTATAACTACCTAGATTTAAGATTATTTTCAACTTGAGACTAGCTTTATCCAAGGATTTTTTCCACGCTAAAACAACCTCGATTTAAGGGTTTTGCATAGAAGGTTGTTTTCCAAGGTTTTAAATTAAAGGGCACTGTGCGTAGAATAGAGCATATTGTCACAGATATTGTTTCAAGATCAGAAGGTTTACATGTAAACCGCATAAAAAACCTTTTTAGGTTTACATTAAAAGGTTTTTGTTGTGTGAAAATAAACCTTATTTTGCTACCTGGATACATTTTTCGCTTTATATCAGACAGAATAAATAATTTCTCCTATTTTCATCAAACTTAAAAAACGTAGTTTTTATTTTTCTTGTTTTATATGTATTTTCCAATTTGTACAACACTTGATTTTAATTTTTGTTTATTTTTTTTTTACCTTTTTACTTTGCAGATTTTCTCTAGAAAATAACAGCTCCAAAGTCTACAGTTTGTCTGGTTTACCAAACGATTCTGAAATGGGACAATCTTGGCACCTTTACGTAAGACAAGCCTCAAGTTCATATTTGCACGACCCAGACAGAAATGAAAGGTTCATGGGAGGTGATGTATTTCGATTTTGTATTTAAAATAGGAGGTTCGCGTACATAAGTAAAATAGAAACCCGATTACTACTGTCTTTTGTGCAAAACATCTGGTATTGGCCCTTTAGACATCATCCAAATTTTTAAATATTTTTTGTCACTGAAAGTATTACTGGAAAAGAAGAAAATTCAATGGTGCATTTTCTTGACAACCCATGTCGTAATTTGCCTTCTCTCAAGGGTTTTTCGTGCGTAGTGTGGCTTTCCATTATAGTGCTGCAGAATAAGTTCTTTTCTGTCGACACTGTACGCTTTCCAAGAGTGTGTTATATAGACTTCTTTTATCTTCTAAAAAATCTATCTAATCAAACCCGTCCCGAAAACGAACCCAGGAAATGGAGTTCAGTTCAAAATTTATGGAACTTATTAAAAAATCAACCCTATTCACTTAGCGAATTTCTAGTAACTTATTTAAAAATTAGCCTCTTGTATTGTCATTATACTTCTCCCAAAATTATAATAAAAACAAGTATTTTATTAACGATTGAAAATTTGAACAAGATGTAAGGAGAGCGTGAACTAATAAGTAGGAATTGAATAAAATTTTATTTAATTTTACAAGTAAAGAAATAATTTTATTCTCAAAATTATCATAATAAATAATTAAACTTTGTTTTTTTCTCTTTCAGATTTGAGAAGCCTGTCTCCAAAATCGAGAGAAATTTTTATATTTTGGTACCATTCTAACAAACTTGAGTAAGAGCAACATCTTAGTAACATGTGAGAAAAAACTCTGTACAATAAAATTTACATCAACAATTTTCTTTTTACTTTCCCTGATACATAATTATAGGGGTCGGGCAGAAATATAAAAAAACTTCTATATTAACTGTATGCAAAACATTCTTTTCAAATGTTTTGGAAGATTTTACACTGCAAAACTGTTCACAGAAAAGATCATGCTTTTAGAAATAATGTCCTTTTTATCCATCCAAAAAGAGCTTAAAAGCTTTTTCAATACCATTATAAATAAAACTGCATTCTAATTTAAATATTGTAATCCTGACGGGGTGACGGTGAATCTTACTCAAAAATCCTGAAAATTTTTTGAGTAAAATCATTAATGACTCATTTCAAAAAATTAATGTCTTTATAAATTCAAATCATTGATATTTTTAATATATGAAATTCTAAATAAATTATATGCAGCATAATTTAAATTAATAATTATGTGTAAGTTTACTTTTATCTCTAATCACAATTATTATTCTACCCGATTTGAGTTGGTCCTTTTCTGAGATGTTTTTTTTTTAAAGATTCTCGAGGGTCGCTGTCCAGAAGTTGGCAAGACTTGGTGATTATTCTACCACAGTTCACTAATACAGAAATCTCCCCAAATATAATTAGGATATATATATATATAAATATATACATACATATGAATGTTCAAAAATAGGAAGAAACAAATTTTATTAGTGCGCACATCCTAATACTATTATTGTGGCTGAATGATTTGTGAAAACTTTGAATAGAATAGTGTGCAAACAACACTTTTGGCGTAATTCGCGACAGAAACCAACACCACAAATGAAAGAGATGCCAAGTATAAATGCTAGTTATAATATTTTAAAATAAAATATACAAGATTTTTTACACATAAATGTGATCGATGATTTCTTGAAATTTCTGGACCTTGGATTTCAGGACCGTGTTAAGCGAAAAATTTTGATTTTTCAGCCCGAGGGTGGTTACGATTTGAGCTGGTCCTTTTCTGTGATGTTTTTTTTTAAAGATTCTCGAGGGTCGCTGTCAGCAAGAATTGGTGATTATTCTAACACAGTTCACTAATACAGAAATCTCCCCAAATATAATTAGGATATATATATATACATATGAATGTTCAAAAATAGGAAGAAACTATTTTTATTAGTGAGTACATCCTAATACTATTATTGTGGCTGAATGATTTGTGAAAACTTTGAATAGAATAGTGTGCAAACAATACTTCTGGTGTAATTCGCGACAAAAACCAACATGATTAAAAATATCATTTTGGAAAAAGGAGCATTAAGGACTTTATAGAAACACCCAATGAAAAAAGCACCTTTAAGGGCTTTTAAAAATCGCAAATAAGCACCTTTAACTGCTTACTTGAGGAAACGCTACGCACCCTGTATAATAAAGAATTCGATCTAGTTTCATATAGAATGTAGTTCGGAAAACATTTTTCAGAGTAATGCTAAATTCGTAAACTTTTTTCTGTAAGTAAACCAAATTTATTTTGAGCTTGATTTTTAGAAAGAACATTTGGGCACAATCAGCTTTAATGCAATCCATAATGTTTGATTAAGCAAAATAATTGTCATCAGCATTTGTGTAAAACTCATGAAGTTTCAAGCAAAGGCGTTAACCACCATTGTCTAAAATGAAACAAGCATAACTGTATGTAATAATATTTTCATTGGAGTGTTTGTTTACTGGCACAACTCAAAGAGTACAGTTTGTGAGATTGAGACAAACGATTTATAAATGGGAAAAAAGATCGGATAAAAAAAAATCCTTGACACTCCGCCATCTTGTAACACCTTTTTTGACTGATTCCAATATGGCAACAGTTCTATCAAACTTTGTTTGTTCCAACGCTTGCATTTCAGAAAGAGGTTTGCTCCAAAGAGCATGCCAACTGTTATAGGTTGAATTCTCGAAGGAAATTATTTTTATCTAAGCCCGTTTTGAAACCTGCTAATGTGTTGAACTGACTCGATCAACAAATATTTATCAGTTGACATTTTTTATGAACAAAATAAATTGTTGATGCTTAATTTGTGTTACATCAACATCCTAGTTTGTTGATATCGGTCATTAGATGCTTAAAATTAGACTTCTTAGATTTTAGTAAGATATGAATTCAAATCTTCAAATAATGCAATTCTAAACAATAATTTTTTTAAAAAAAGCAGTGTAATTTTGAATAAATAAAGTACAGAATGTCATTTCAATAAAAAAAATTATATATTTATATTTCAATTCATTTTCTGTTACGATTCTTTACATTTGCAGTATCATAGAAGTGGACACCAATTTTCTTCACTTTTTGACTTCGCATGAGTTTTCTTTTCTGTAAATAAGAAGAAAAGATAAATATGAATATCAATTCAAATATATCAATTAATTGAATAATTTGAAGGATGATAAAAAAACAATGCAAACTTTTAAACTACTTAATTATTATGTAACATATGAAGAGTACATGGGAGAGCAGAGGTCTCATTTTAATAAACCAGCTATCAGTAATCAGAAATATACAATTAGCATAAACGAAATTCAAATTAATGTAATTTTAAGGTGTGTGTACAACTTAATTCTATAAGTGCATGCGATATAAAATTAAATTATATAAAAATAATAACAATTAAAGCACTTGTAATCAAATTTCTTAATATATATATATATAATGTTCACAAGAACAAAATATACCTAAATATACTATAAAATTTCTTATAAAAATAAAATAAGACACTTTTTGTAGGATAAATTTCTCCTCAACAGAGTAAAAACTATTTTTAAAAACATTTAGGGAAAAATAAATGAGTGGTTGGCTAAAATAAAACATTAAATAACTTAATTACTTGTTTAGCGCTCAACTTCATTTTTGGAATATCATCACAATTATCATCAGCTTGTTTTCTTTTCCTTCCTTTTCTCCTCTTATTTGGTTTCTTTTTTTCATCTTTATCTGATGATGATACCTACAACATAACAAGAATAATTTGAAATTTTTTTTTATATGATTATCACAAAATCAATGTTCCACAAGCACAACAAGCATACCTTGCTAGCCATCTCCTCTTCAAAGCTAACAGTCATAGATTCTGCTTTTTCAGTTGTTTCTACAAGGGAAGAAAATTGAAAATTAAGTTAATTATTTAATTTTGCAACCGACATTTGTAACAAATTGGAAGAGACATTATCATGGCTACCAACACAGACCGGAAAAAATCCAGTAGATTTTACGAAAGATAAATTTCATGATAATTGTTGCACAATGTACGTACTAAATATTTTACACATAGGGATTTTTATAATCACCAAAATAGATAAACTGCAATATTTTCCACATGTGATTTACATGAAATGAACTTGAAATAGTATGTATTATGTTTACTCATAATTTCAAATATTAATGGGCATTTAATTCATCAAAGACAGTTAAAAGATTTTTTTAATTAATTTAAAAAGAGAGTTTTGAATAAAAATAAACACAATATTTTTGGACAAAAAAAAAGTTTAGAACTATTTTTTATAAATGAGGTTTGCATCATTATGTATTAGTAATACTAGGAAATTTACTCAATTTTATGGAATTTTCTAAAATGTACAAAAACCAGGAGAATTTTAATTAAACCAGTAGAAACCGGCCTAAACCAGTAGTCTACTGGAAACTCCAGTAGAGTTGGCAGCTATGAGGATACATTACAGCAGTGGTTCCAAATATTTCTGGTTCAAGGAGCCTTCTGACAAACTTTTTTCCCCCAACAGAACCCCAATTTATTTGTAATTTCTTTAAAGTAATACTTCTATTTTACAGTTTAAATTTAAAGGTACTTTAAGTTGCAGTAAAAGGAAATTCTTTTTATAATTAGTTTAGTAATAAAACAGTTGTTATTGTACATTATTTACACCGAAAAATGAAAGTCGCGTATAATTAAAAAAGAAAAAAACTATTCATAATGTTGCATTTTGTTAGAAGTTATATAAATGTTAAATAAATTCATATATGTTGAAACATATTTAAAAATTGTTTTAAAAATTATGAATTTTTTATATATATTATTTTATAATATCAAACTCTAACTTATACCTCTATTTTTAGATTTGTCTTACTTATTTATAATAGTATATATCTTTCAGCTTATCTTCTTTGTTTATAAAAATAAATAAACAAATTATAAAAATATATAAAATATTGAATACTAATAGCAATTGATAACTATTGGACTGCATATAAAACTAATTTATTCTATAGAACAAAAATATAGAAAACTTAAAGTTGGTTTGACAATTCTTCAAATAAATAAATTGAGAACAGGGATATTTTATTTTCATTCAAACTACTGGATTGAATTAGATGACTGAACTTGGAACATTGATTTTTCAAGAAACCCCTTAAGATATTTTTATGAAACCCTGGAAATAGAGAAATTCATCATAATTGGGTTACTTTCGAATGTAAAATGGCACAATCCAAATGTCTTTACGATTTAAGCTTTTTAAATCAAGAAATTTTTGTAATAGCTTTTGTTGCAATAACTATCTATATCGCAAAACAGATCTTGAATTGTTGTCTGATTTCACTGTACATTTATACTTGAACAATATTGCAAAAGTTTTGTCTACGCCTGGTGTTCCCAGACTAGCGGTTCCCAATTGTTTTCGGCTACACAACCTTAATTGATCAACCTTCCTTTGGCGGAACCCCAAATTAATAAATAAAGTTCAATTGTAAACCGAATCATAGAAACACTACTAATTATTTAATCATCTTATCAGTAATAGTTTTAAAAGTACACTTCACGTAAAGCAGTAGAATTTTCAGTTATGGAGCAGCATGAAATGTAACTCTGAATGTGTTCTTAGTGTACACATGAGCTAAAAATGAAAGAAAGAAAAAAAAGAACCCAATTATGATTTTTGTTGAAAAGAAAATGAATTATGTACATTGTTTGAACCAACTCATATGTTGAGAATGATTGTTATTGAATTTTGTATTTTCTTTGGATTGAAAAAGGTTTGATGGGAAATTATAATGCAAATTTTTTTTAATAATCCTTTCAATACATTGTTATTAGAATTTTTTTTCTTTTTAAAAAACATTATTATATTTTTCACTGACTAATAATTTACCAATAATTTCATAAAAATGACCAAAATATTAAATATAAAATTAATTGTTTTGCTTGGATATAAATAAAATGGCAGGCTTCAAAAATGTTTAAAGTCTAGATTCCACAGAACACCTTTTGGGAACTGATGTTCTAGACTACGAAACACCCAAAATTCCGAGATATAATTGTTTCAAAAATAACCATAAAACTTACCATTCGTATCTGGTATTAAATCTTCTTCATCAAATTCAAAAGTCTTTTTTAAATCACGTAAATCTTCAATCTCAGTTTCATCTACTTCATCCTCCTCCTCCTCTCTATCCTCTTCATTTGCTTTTTCTTCATTCTAAAAGTAAAAAAAAGTCATTAATTACCTTAATAGGTGACAAAAACATTAAACATATTTTGCATTTTTCTCGTTCATGTTACATTATGCAACATGTGAAGGTTACATAATGTAACAGTTATGTTTACTATAACATTGATCAATAGTTACAGTAAACATAAACAATTGATCAATGTGTAGGTTCCATCATGTAACAATACTTCTGCGAATAGTGAACATTTGTAAATGATAAATAAAAATAGAAACCTCATTACCTGACACTCTCAGAACCAGGGGTTTTTTGGAAAATCAAAATCCTCAAATAATCAGGGAACTTCCTTAAGACAATTTTTTTAAATTTATAAATATTAAACTATGATTAAAATTATTAAAATAGTGACAATAATGTAGCCTCAAAAAGAAAAGAAAGAACTTGAATTTTATTGTTCTGACATATATATAACTGTTTAACAAAAAAAAAAAAATTTTTTTTTAAAAATCAGTTATGCATTTTTGTTTTTTGTTCAAATGTCATTTCTTTTACCAGCCAGATTTTGGAATAGCTTTATTAGCAATAATCAGTTAACATCAGCTTCATATTGTTTTTCAAACCAATCAACATATTTATTTAATTTTAATGTATCTCTTGCTTCAGAGTGAGTTAGAGCACTACTAACATTATAGTACTAGCATTTTTTATTCTAATATGAATCTCGTCTGAGTGAAAGTTGTGTCGGATAACCGAAGTGTCCTTTTTATTTTATTTAAGTGTTGGATAATAGGAGTTCTATTGTATTTAATAAAGCTTAAGTAAATTACATTAAATCTAAAATCATTAAATAATAAGATAAAGTAGAACTTGTTCATAAGCATGGGTGCCCAAATAAAAAAATTTCGAGATTGAACTTTCTTTTGACCCATTAATACGATCTAGCGTTGTTTGCCAGAAATTTACAGCTCACTGACTCCAAAATGCACCTTTTCCATAATAATGGCACAAATATTAAATCAATGATTTGATTTTTTCCCCATTTGGTTAATTCACTGGCTAATAAACCATTCATTTTCTCATGAAGTTATTTATATGTCTATTTTTTTGTTTGTTTCAGCATTGTTTATTTCTTGTTCTACCTCTAGAATTTTTCTTTTTTTTAAAAATAATCTTAACTTCATAATCAGCATTTCAAAATGAAAACTCAATCAAATCATTCCTAATAATCAGCATTTCAAACTGAAAACTCAAACAAATTTAGATACGACAATAGTACAAATTTTTGTTTAAGCAAGCAGCTGCAGAAGTTCGTTCAATGTGCCGAGATTTCTCAATAATTATGAAAAATAAATAGAAAATGTTTGTATAAAATTAACTTACATAACGTAAAGCATTGCTAACAGAGAATAAAAATGTCAGCGGAGCTGTATCAAAAATTACAATACTCTCAATTATTTTCTAATAAATACTCACCTCAGGATTAGACTCCATTTTTTCTGATTGTTGTGTTATTTCAGTTTCTTCTTTTTTAATCTAAACATAAACAAGAGTTGATGAAATAATACTATTTAGTTACAACCCTTCAAACTAGCTATCAGTAGTCAAAAACATGGTAATACAGAAATATACACACAGTTAATATTTGCGAAATTTAAATTATACAATTTTAAAGTGTATAAAGGTGCTATTAATACTTAATTCTACATTAGTACATAATATTAATAAATTCATGCAATAATTTATGATTAAATGAAAAAGAAAGTAACTCTAAAATAAACGTACTAAATCAGAAATTATACAACACTGAAATTTTATAAACTTCATTAGAAAATGATAAAAATAAATTGATTACTTGGCATCAATGTTCTAGTTTTTGGTTAAATTAGAAATAACCTTTATGGTCTTTATCTAGGATTTCAACCCCTAAAAACCAACTAAGAACAATTTTTATTCCTACTCATCTTTTGCTTTTTTTGTTATCCTTTGCGTTATATCAGCGTTTTTATTATAACAGCCTTTTTTAAAAAGCATTTCGTATGAAAGTTATTGTTTTATTATCTGTTTTTTCTAAAAATACACCAATTTGAGAAAGCTAAATTGAAATTTTAGCATTGAATTTTTCGTTATTAAATTTATAGTGATTTTCGTTTCGATTTCTTTAAAGATTTTCCTTTTGAAAAAAAAATTCCTTTGTTATCAATTTTTTTAAATTATAATATGACAATTAAGAGGGTTTCTACTAGGCTTTATTCCTTTTTCTTTACTTTTGTTTGAAAATATGGTAATTGGAAAACAGAAATGCTCAATTTTAATCTTTTCTTTCAAAAATTCAGACCAACTTTTATTTTTTCTGCTTCATTTTTGTACATAATCTTTTTTATGGGCATTTTTATGATAGCACTCTTTTAATGTTTTATGGATACTTTTTCCGATATAATTTTTTATATTTCCATATAATTTTTAGAGAAGAATTAAGAGAATTTTTCTCTTATTTTCCATTTTATTATTTCAGTAGTCAGTTTTTTAATTATCTTAAATATTTCTAATGGATAACTGTTATAGTTTTTTTCCCTTTACCCTATACTAACGATATAACTAAGTTTTGATTATTTCTCAATAATGACTAAACTTATTTATAAACAAAATTATGTTTATAAAATTATTATTTTTTTTTGCTGAATATTCGACTGATTGGCAAAATTATTTAGATAAAACTTCGATTAAAACCTAAATGTCTCGAGGTGTGTCAGTAGTACATCGTCATCAGTATGATAAATGACACTATTATTAGTGTGACGTAGGATTAAATCATCTCTGTTTTATCATTCTTGCCATTTATCTTACTGATGAAGGTGTACCATTGAGATGTATATAGTTTTTTTTAACAAATTATTATTAGTAATTACAAACATTTAATGAAATTTAATGCTTTCTTGATTTTTAAAAAAAAATTTCATGCTTTGGTTTGTGATTCTTAAAAAATAGTTAATTCATTATAATTTTTAGCATTACATATTCTTTGTATTCATATAAATTTACTTAATATATGAATTCAGTCATGTAAATTTATGGAGACATGTATTCAGACCAGTGAAAATATGTATGGACTAATAATTATAGTAACCGGTCCTTTACTTTCAACCCCCACCCACAACCAACTGCATCAATTCTCTGCTAAGCGAAATTGGTCGCAAATAAATAAAACCTAAAAATAACACTTATTTTTACATTAGAAAAACATAATTTTAAAAGAAAATTTCGTTTGATTGAATCCATTGAAAAATATACTAACTTCTTCTGCCGGTGGTTTGACAAAGTAAGGAAGTTTCCCTCGTTGAAAGTCATTCAACACCATTTTCGCAACTGCAGTCACATCTGGTTCTCCTCCCTTTACAGAGAAATGAATTTTTTTTAAAAGTAAATTCAACATAGCAACCAAGAAAACAACTGCTTATCATCAGTCGTAATAGTATAAGTAGGCTTCCAAACTTGTAAGAAAATTGAAAATTAGCTTTAATAATTATTTCCTTTTAAAATAATATTGTGTGCTACCTAAATCCATAAAAAAAATAATAATAATCAGGTATTTTTGCAGTTGAGGCTCAATTATTATCCTAATAAGATTCAACACTACTAAAATAAATTTAACATTGAAACACTTTATAACGTATCACAGTTTCTGGTACAGCCTTAAGTTAAAGCGGTTCAAGAGGCAGCATTAAAGCCTGACATTTTGGAATGGAAGCAATTTCAATACTTACCTTTAACTTAAGACTTCACAAAGAAACATTCATATATACTTTCAAGCAAATGATTTTAAAAAAAACATTTGTAAGTACTTTTTAATACATAAATGTGTTTTGAATAGCCTTAATGCAGGGTTGCCACTCAAATCTGGGGAAAGTTTTCCCTGTACATATTAAAACACAATCACTGAGCTCCTGAGTGACCTATATTAGTATAGCTGTACTATTTTTAATTGCTGGACAAACTTTAAAAAATAAGAAACAGCTTAATATACAGTACAGAAACCGTTATGCGGAAATCAGAAAACCGGAACGAAATTCGATTAGTTTTCCCGCCATTTAAAAAAAAAAAAAATTCTTTTTCCTCATAAGATTTTAGGATTTTTTGTTCTTTTTTTGAAAGATGTTTACCTTACCATCATTTTGGAAATAATCATTAGTGTATTACTTCATCGTTTTTTCTTCTTTTTAAGATTATTTTTAAAATTTTCTTTTTTTAGTTGGGTTTAACTATAAAATAACGGCATTTTGTAGCGATTCAGAAAACCGGAAAAAATCAGTTATTCGGAATATCGATGGTCCCGATCGTTCCGGATAATCGGTTCCCTACTGTACATAAAACAATGAATGCTACAGTAAATGAAACAGTTTAGTATAGCTGAAATATCATCCTTAAATGTCCCATAGATTGTGATTTGAGTGGTCACCATTTTTAAAAGACAAAAATAAGAAATAAAATTTCCTGTATTTTCCCAGTTTGTAAGGAAAAACTCAATATTACTCCTGTTGTTTTAGGTGAATTCCCTGTATTTTCCAGGTTTTCCCCAGGAAGTGGCAGTCCTGCCTTAATGTTAAGTGGTTAAAAAGCCAGCTTTAGAGTCCAACTCATCAAACTGAAAGTAATTTTAACAAACTATTTTGCCTTTAATTTTTTTTACACAAGATTGGCAATGGCAAAAAGAAAATAAACAAGACGATTAATATTTTTTTATCCAAACCTTTCGTAGTTTTCCACACTTGCGAGCATATTGTTCAAGGAAATCTATTGGATCACTCCACTGCAGTACTTTGTAAGTTTTTATGATATATTCCTTTTTAACACGATCCAGAAGTTCTGGAACATGATCTTCTGGGTCTTGAATATTTTCAATTCTTACCTGTAAATCAAAATTCAAATTGATGAAGAAACTAATAGAATTCTGTTTCCAATACCTTTGTATTAAGTGTTCAGTAATAACATATTGAAAGAGTGAGTGATGAGGGTGATACTGAATTAATCAATGAACTTGTTTTGTTCTGATACAAAAAAATTTAGATTTGGAAGATTTTTAAAATATATCATGAAGATATAAATATATATATATATATTTACATATGTAGTGATATGTGAACTCAAAATAAATAATTTTCTTTGGACTAAATTCATTAGTTTTTATTGCTTATTTTTAAAGGAAGATTTTGGATTGCTGATTTGAAAATAAGATTGTCTCATTTTCATAGTTAGATAATACAGACGCACACCGTGCACGGATACATTGGTGGTGATTCTCTAATTTTGCAGATACTTTTTTTTAAATATTTATTGTAGTATAAAAAAAAGCATCCATGCTTGCAAAGCCTGCAGCGAGGGGTGGGGTAGAAAATATGATGCAGACGGCATTATCAGGATCTAGACATGGTTGAAGAAAGTCAGTGTTTAGTTATATGCACGCTGCTCCCAAAGATAAAAGATATAACTGCCACTTTAGCCCAAAGAAGCGATCCCATAGTTATCAATTGAGTCGACAATTAGTTAGTTTTTTTTTACAACTCAACTATCGCTTTACAACGAAAATAAATTATTGCGATGACAGTAGGAAATCCTTTAATGAAATTTCGTTTGGAGCAAAATTACATATATTAATTGATATAATTACTTTTTATGGACACAGTTCTTAAAAATTATGCATTCCTATTTATGTATAACTATTAATTAATATTAATCTTCCTCTAATGTTCTTGTTAATATGCATGTATATAAAGATGTTTTTTTCTTTTTTTGTCAAGAGTAATAAAAATTTTTAAATAGTTACCTGCTTTTGTATATTTAACAAAATTATTCTATTATCAAAAATAATATGAGCTGGCAGATACTTTTGAATTGCGTGTGCAGATACTTAATGTTTTTATCTTACTATGCTCATTTTAATTTATCACATTCTAAAAATTAATTTTAATGAAGTCTAATTGATTCATTTTTTAATGAATACTTCAAATTAGAATTTAAAAAAGTGTAATTTCACTTGGAAAATTATTAGAATCCATTATATATACTAAGATTGTTTATATTTCTTTCTTGTATATTTAATAATTACTTTTTAAATGATTTTATTTAACCATTTAAATTGTTATATTCATATTTATAACATGTGCTTTAATGCCACAAATAGCACCTGTATTAGTATGGTAAAATTTTGAGTGGTATACATGGTGGTGCGGATATATATTTTATGACACATAGTTTTAATCAAGTTTTGAGCCATGGCTTCGCGAAATTATGGTATTCATAATATACTTACGACTCCTTTTAAAACAATTTCAGTATCTGTGTCTCCAGTTGGATAAACAACACCGGGACAATCAATAAGGTAGATTCTTCTCATCAGAGTTATGTACTGCCAAACCTTCAAATAACATAGGAAATAATTAATCAATAGAGAAATGAAAAATATTTTTATCTTCTTTAGAGTAGAAATGGAAAAATGGATCATCAGAAGTTTGTGAATGATGAAAACCATAAAATTAGAAACATACAGTTGTCAACAACAATTAATGAAAGGGAAACAATTTTATTTTAGAAAGGTCATACAACAACCGACCCAATTTTTTAGGTTTACGACAACTAATGTTCAACTCTGTACAGTGTGCGTACCCAGATTTTCAACAAAAAATAAGCACCTCTTTAGCACTTAAAAAATATTTTTAATCCATTTGAAAAAAAAAAAAAAAATTCTAATAATTCATTATTATGATCTGTACAGCAATAAAAATTATTTTTTCTATTGTATAAAGTTCTTAATTTATAAACAAAATTCAGAAACACTTTCAGAAACTTTACTTAATCATGATAAAATTACTAGTTTCTTATAAATATTGCGGAGAAAATTGTGAAAATCATGCATTCTTTGTAATTTAGAATGACAATTGATACGACAAAGAAAAAATCTCTTTTTAAAATGTAATTTTGAGCCCAATCCAGAAGACAAGGGAACACCTGGACCAACTATTGGGAGAAATTTTGCCTTCCAGGAGAACTTTTTAATGGAACTAACCTGCATTTGCTTTATATGAAGAGGAAAACCACGAAAACCTCCCACGGTTAGCCTGATCAATATATATTTCCAATAGGTATAGGTTCAAAAACGCAATATGGTTGACAAACTTCAGAAAAAAAAATTAAATATGCAATTTTTTAATTCATGGTATGGTACACATCAAAAATTACTTATTGTCATTTATATCACCCTAAAAACAGGGCTGAAAGTTCAAAACATAAAAAAATAAGGACAAAATTGCCTCCAAACTGAAGAAAAGTTAAGGAAGCTGATTCTCCAATGGGAGCAATTTCTATGATACCAACATGGATTCGCAGATATACAATTGGGAATAGTTTTAAAAGTTCCTGCATTTAAGTGAAAAAAAGAAAGACTTTTAAAAAAAAATTTTCCTTAAAATATGCAAAAAATTTTTTTTAGTTTTTTCCCCAAAAAGTAAGGAAAATAGTGCAGCTTTTCGTTCATTACTCCCACATTGAATGCTTTTACGCCATCAAATCAAGGGTAGCAGTCTCTAATGCTGGAAGTAGATTAATATTGTACTGGGCACGCTATGAAGACGTCATTCAATTCATTATTTACTTTGCTTCATGGCATATAAAATAGCTTTTGTATTTGAAATTTCTTGAATTTTTGAGATAAATAATATTTATTCTTCTTGTTAACTTTAACAAAAATTTGGAAAACACAAAATTTCAGGACATTTATTGAAATGTTTAATAATTAAGGGCATTTAAGGACACTCTCTATTTTTAAAGAAAATTAAGGAATTTAAGAACCTGTAAAAAATAATCAGGTTAATTACCCATAATGATTGAAGATATTTATTAACATTATGTAGTAAAAAAGGCTCAAATAATATTAATAAATAAATGCACCTACAATGCTAGACTAAAATGCTGAGACCACATAAATAAATTATAAGAACAGAGAAAGAAAGAATTAACAAAATATTATACTAAAAATTACAAAATTACAAAATTTTAAATATAGTTACTATCTAAAAGAGAAAAAAAAGATTTTTTTATTGATAAACATTTATACTAGGAGTACATGAATGCAAAGCACAAAATATAAATTTTAAATTTCAACAATTATAAAAAAAACATTTTTGCACTAAACACTTCCAGATATTAAATTTGACGATAATTCAGTCATTCCATACCATGCGAGTAGAACAATAAAATTAGTACAAAATTTTTTTATGGCATGGAAATCAATGCAAAAAAACTATTTTTGATTAATATTTTTTAAATTGCAAATCATTTCAAGGCAACATAGTTGTTGCCCATTGGTGTAATTTTAGTGATATTTGTAAAATATTTGGCATTAATTCTAGCCATGTTGCCATACTCATACCTGCCAATATTGGAGAATAAAATAATGGAGATTTTACAAGTGATATTTCGTAGGCTACTAGTAAAGTTTTACATCAGAATACAAAACAGAAATTTAAATAAATAATTGGAAATAATGTAAGCTCTAACATTTAGAGACATAAAAAATATGTTTATAAATCTTAATCTAAAAAATATCTTTTTAAACAATTATTTATAATTACTTAAAACTATTTTATTTTATAATCGTCATTGAACAGCAGACCCAATTTTTTGTTTGTTTTATCACTACTTCTGTTCTTGTTATGCACGTTTCAAAATTGCAAATTTGCAGAAGACTTTTAATGTCTTTGACTAAAAATTGTCCTCATGGAGGACTTTTTGATGGAACTAACCCGCATTTGCCTTACATGGAAAGGAAAACCACAAAAACTCCCATGGTTAGTCTGATGGCAAGGAGACTCTAACCCATGATCCGTCTACCACTTAGGATATCTTTACTTAAACTATTAGCACTCAACATACTGCAGTACTGGCTATTGAGGAATAAGAGATGTATTCTTCTCAGCAAATTTAAATCACCAAATTTTTTTTAAATAAATTTCTTCAATATATATGGAGATATTTGGGTAAACAGGAGATAATCGTAAAATACAGGAGTCTTCATTAAAAAACAGGAGACTTGGCAAGCATGCATACTGGTGTGAGCCCTACAAATAAAATAAAAAATTATGACAAGAACGAGTCAAGGTATATTGTTTTTTACAAGTGGCAGGCTGATAGGAGTGGGTTGATAGCAGATAACTGCTTTAGCACTCTTAATTTTTTCTTCCTTCTCATCCCATGACAAATATAAGCCGTGATGACTACGGGGATATATAGACCTTCCAATGAAGTAAACCGTGTCCGAATCTCAGCGATTGCTAGGCGTTACGAATTTCGCAGCAATTGGCTAGCCCCATCCACAGTGCTGATGTGAAGTATCCTCAGTGGTAGAGGGATCATGGATTAGAGTCTCCTTGCAGTCAGGCTAACAGTGGGAGATCTTCATGATTTTCCTCTTCATGTAACGCAAATGCGGGCTAGTTTCATCAAAAAGTCCCTACAAAGGCAGATTTCTTCCAATACTAGATTCAAGGGTTCCCTCGACTTCCGGATTAGGTTCAACATTACAAGAACATTAGTAGTCGCAAACCCAAAAAATTGGGTCAACTGTTCAACAACAGTTATAAATTAAAACAGCAGGTACAAACATGCCTTATCAAGCCAGATAATTGAGAGCCTTAAAAAACTTAAAACATTTAAATTTATGGAAAAAAAATTATTTTAAATACACTAACCTTAGTTTCCCCAGCAATGGGTGCCACTTTACAGACTTTTTTAGAACGTAAAGTATTGATTATTGAACTTTTACCAACATTAGGATAACCAATGAAGCCTACACTGATCTGTTTCTTATCTTCATGGAGCTTTAAAAATAAAAATTTCCTTAAACAAATTTTAAAAAAAAAGACAGATAAAAAAAATTGTTAAAAAATAGAAACTAGATGAAAGCATGTGCAAAGCATAAAATTGTGATCAAAATTGAATAAGTCTTATAAAATTATAATTATATGCATTTAATTATTCATGTCTTTTTAAAAATAGATAGGATGATAGGAAAAGGAAAATTTATTTAGATTTCATGCATTAAAAAAACTACTAAAAATGCTGGTAAAAAAGCATTAAAATATAATTCATTTATGAGAAAGGCATGTATATTGATTTCATTTAACAAATAAAAGAAACAAAACTAGACTTGCTAGAGACAAAAACTAGAAAAAACTTTTAAAATCATGAGCACAAAATATTTAAATATTACTTTCAAATTAAAATAAGTCCATAAAGAAAGTTATAATTATACGTATTTAGTTTTTAAAGCTCTTTTCAATTTAAGTAATAATGGGAAAAAATAATAATTTTTATAATAATGGGGAAAAAAGATATAATGCATAAGAAAAAAGATTAAAAATGCAGCTAAAAAACTTTTAGAAGCATAAAACATTTGTTAGAAGTATGACCACAAATTATAAAATATATATATATCACAATAAAGAAAAAAAAACTCAATCTTTATTATTTCTGTAACATGTTACCTCATTTATTTATTTATTTTTTAAAAAAATGGGACAAAAACTTTTTAAATCTCATAAAAAAATAACTAATTACTATTATAACGGAAATCAGCCGAATAAAAAAATTATTATTTTTTAACAAATTAAAAAGGTAAAACATTAAATAACTTAATAATATAAATAATTATACATAAAATATAAATAATTCTACATAACATTTCAAAGAAAAAAAGATACCGAAAGGATATAATTGCAAATGAAATAATTTAAATAATAAAATACAAATTATTTTGAAAGAGCAATAATAAAGAAATACCTTGCCAAATTGCCTTAATATATTGATAAGGGCTCCTTTTCCAAAAGGGTTTGTTAGACTGGCATGAAACACCATTGTTGGGCATTCAGCTGACAAAATTGTTACCCAACGTTGCTGTGAGATAAAACATTCAAGAATTCATGTTAGGAAAGAAACTTCATTCACATTATACAAACTTTTAAGAAGGTTATTTTTCTGCAATACACTACACAGAGCCCAAAATAAAATGGATATTACATACACAATCATAAAATAACATTCGAAAAAGGTTGCACACCCTTACTTATAGTATAACGATTAAAATTAAATTCAGTTTTGCATGTCATTAGCATAAAAAAATAAAGCAAGTTAATTTAGATTCATTAACAGTTTTTGAAGTTCATAAAAACCAACTAAATATCACATTTAATTACAAACAACATGGTAGATGATAACATAATGTAGCAAATTAAAAAGAAATCTATAATATGTAGTAGAGTCTTCGTTCAGACTGTCTTGACCAAAGACTGACAAATCTTATAAAATTTTAGCAGCTAAGAAAAATTCTCAGCAGACAGCTTCTAGATTTATTGATTTTATCACATTTATTGCAAAATAAAATACTTCTCATAGACACTCCTGGCTATTGTTTAATCATATGGTGTACTTTTGCATTAAAAGAGTTAAATATTCAATTGAAAAATACAAATCTGAAAAATTTTTAACGAAATAAGTCTTTTATTTGCAATTTCTGTATTCTGATAAAACAAACTATGAAATAAAAACTAAAGTAGTAGCTACATTAATATTCTCACCTTTGTTACAAACATTAAATTGATATACACATTAATATTGCCGCTATCTCACAAGTTTCAATTTTCTAGCAAAAAAAGTAATCAGCATTAATTTCTTTTCCTTTCTTTGTTAATAAATCCCACTGCTTATAATAAATAATGAGTTGTAGAATAATTGTGTTGAAAAAGTTAGTAGCCTAGGGAATTTTTTTGGTCATCTTGTTAACCTGGTGGCCACTATTTGCCTGTCTCTGGTCATTACAGCAATTTTCTTCCCAAATCAAATTTTTTCATTGCAGCATAGCATTAAATAATTCTGAAAATATTTCCCAAACAACTTGAGTTGTTATTTACGTACCACTCAACTTAACTTAATGAGAACTTAACTGCTCTATATCCAACAAATGAATTGATTTTGAACAGTGTAATGGACAATCATAAGAAGTTAGAAATTGATTCTGAAAAGGAAGACATGATAGAGGCAAAACTACACAGGACTGAAATTATACAAGCAATTGAATACTGCTTAAAACAGACATTTCCCAATGAAAAGAAATGTGCCCAATTCTATATTCAACTCTTAAAATTTTTATGAAAAATTAACCCTATGATAATCAATGCAAAATCTCAGATTAAATAAAATAAACCTAAGTATAGGTAAACCTAAGCAAAGTTTTTTGCTATATTAGTTTATATTATTCTCTAAACTGAGCATTTTATTTATAGTACAAAAATTAATGATTTTGATACATTTCTAACATGTATTAACTTTAATCTTTTACATATGGCTGGTACAACAAGTAGACTATGCAGAATTTATCATACTCCTATTAGGCAAGGCAAACTTTCAACTGGAATTTTTCAACTAGAACCAAACCATTTTGTCACAGTAATTCTATGTTTTATAAGAATAAAATAACAAATGTAAAGAAAAATAGAAAATGTAGCATACAACGGGTAAGGAAATGAAATTTCAATAAAGCTGCCGTAAAAAAATTTCAATAATATACTCACAGCAACCCAGGTAGGCACTAGATCACATTTATTTAAAACAAAGATGAGATGCTTATGCGGTTTTTCTTTTCTCAAAAAATTTTCTATATGTTTAGATCTTGTACCCATAGGATCTCTGGCATCTAATACTTGGATTACGACATCAGAAGAATCTATTACCTAAAAAATTTAAATACTGTAAATACAGCATAATAAATTCATATAGCAGCCTATAACAATGAAACACTCTACACTGCATAGAATTTTTTTTTTTAATGTAAGCCTGCTCAGCGAACAATAGGAAAATTAACCCTCTAATAATCTGTAACAAAGTTCTCTCTATACTGAGAATGATTTGATAAAATTTTCTGAAACACAGCAATGTGTTCCTTTTTAGAACAATGAACATATACAAAATCACACCTGCCAACGCTGGAGAAATAAAATAATGTAGATTTTACTACAATATTTTTTAGGCTACATGTAAAAATTTGATACATTATGCATAATCACGTAAGTCATAAAGAGAAATTCAAAATTGGAAATAATATAAGCACCTACAAGTAGCGAAGTAAAAAATAAGTAAATAAATCTTAATCTAAAGAAGATTTTTAATTTTTTTAAACCATTATTTATAATTACTTAAAGTATAAACACTCAATATACTACAGTACTGGTAATAACACCATCAGAAGTATTTTTGCGATTAGCAGATATTTTATCTCAAAAATTTCCCTCTTATTTTCTTTTTTAAATTTCTTCAACAAATACGGAGAAACTTGAGAACACACGGGTAAACAGGAGTCTTCGTAAAAAAAACAGGATACTTGGCAGGTATAAAAAATAATAAATAGAAAATGAAGCCTGGGTTTTTGAGATGACAAACATCACAACTTGGTTGAAACTGTCATCAAAAACGTAAATAGTTACAAAATTATAATGCAAGTGAAATCTTTGTTAGTAAATTTAAAGCATTAAGTTTAAAAGAAAATGGGAATAAGTAGAAATTTGATCAATTGTTTCTCAAGAAGCCATTCATTATAAACGATAGATGTGAGATACAGGTCAATGTAAAAGAGAAAAGTATGGCTTGAAAATGAATTAAAGTAATTTACAATTAGGGAGAGTTGATACGTCTGTAATTACCCCTGCATACTTAATGTAGATGCAGCATTACAAATTCTCTGCATCATAAATGCAGCTTACTAACTCTTTTCTTATTTAAAAAAAAATCAAACAGAAATCAGTGAATATAAACAAGGATATCTATATCTAAGAGTACCTAAGGATATAATATCTATTAATATCTAGTTCTTTGGACAGTGATTAAAATTTTTTAAATTTCTAACACAGAGATGCCAACTGCTCCGGACATGCCATAATAATTTAAAAAACAGTATACAACGGCAAACAAATATCTGATTAATTTTGCCTACTTTTTAAACAGTGTGGCATAACTTTACAGTAACAAAGTAATGAATTATAAAAACCAACGAATTAGTTAGAAATAGTGACAGATAAAAACCTAATAAATTGAATTTATAAAACCAAGAATCTCAGATTAATAAACCACCAATCGAAAATATTTATTTGCTGTCTGGCGCAAGTTGGCATCTCTGCTAACGTAGCAGTTGGAAAAATGTTCATCAAAAAGAAATGTTGGCAACTATGTTTGTGATATAGAGATATGTTATATCAGTTAAAAAAAGAAGGAAAGTAAATTTTACTTTATAGAGCTCATTCCATAAGCGCTTAGATTGGCCTTTAAACATAATCATTTCCCTTGCTTCTTTTACAACTTTCTCTTCTCCTGTTATGATGCTTCCATCTTTGGTTGAATCATACTTTTCAGTTGACTCTTGGGCTGCATTAACAAATTCCTATAAAAACATGATACATTTATATGACATTTTAAAAATTATTATTATTTTTTTTAAACAATGAGAGAGAAAATATATTAACAAAACTGATATGAATGACTTCATGGCTGAACTGAGCAGCTATGAAACCAGACATGTGGTTCAATAAGAGTTAAAATATTGAAATAGCCTAGTGATGTCAATTTGCCAACATATTAATGAATCTTGCATAAAACTACTGAAAACACCCCTTAAAGATTACTGAATTGTGTAAAATAACTGAAAAATCTCATATTTGGAAACTGATTTTTAACTTTTGTAGCTACAGAAGATTTGCAACTTATATTTTAAAAACAACTGATTCTCAGTAAGAATAACAATGTTAGATTTTTAATTATTTAGTGTGTATATAAATCCTCAAACCTGCTTCAGGAATAACATTCATATTTCGTCACAATGTAAATGCTTATTTAACATTTTATTTATTTAATTTTTTTTTTTACAAATTTAATATGAACCAGGCAAAATTTTTTCAAGGGGTGAAGCTATAAAAATCGAGCATTTTTTAGCATTCAAAAATTATTTTTAAGCACTTTAAAAAAATTTATTAGTCAGCCTAGAAATATTTTGTGCCTAATTTTAATTATATTCAATAAAAAGTTAACCATTCTCAATTCTCTAAATTATTTACTTAATTAAATAAAAAAAATTAATTTTAATTTAAAATTACAGCTAGTTACACTAACTTTAAAAAAAAGTTATTGGGCACATTTTCTAGATTTATATAAAAAAAATAATTACTAACTACAAAAAAAATAAAGCATTTCCGCAACAACCCGTCGTAAGCCAGGGGGTCACAGAGGTCAAGACCCTTCAATTCTGAGACCAATGGCATGACTGTGTCAATGTGGTCAGCACAGCTCAAAGGCCACCCAAACAATCTATTAATCTGAAGTTGTGTGGGTTTCAAGTCACCACCAAGGATCGAACCCTAGTTCTTCAAAATGACAGTTCAGTGCCTTAACCACAAAGCCATTGAGGCTCACTAATTACATACTCAACAAAATTATAAAATTAATAATAGCTCATTAATTATATTTAATGAATCTGGTTGTTTAAAAAGTTAAGCAAACTATGAAATTCAAATTAGAATTCCAAACTAGTGAATCTATGAATTTAAGTTTCATTTAAATTAGTAATTTGGATCAATGTCTGTAGTCTTCTTAGTGGCTCAATAGAAAAATTAAGACAATGCTTTACAAAAAATCTGGACACCTTTTGATGCAATATACACAAGACTATTTTTAAGAAGTGGAAATAAAGGGTTAAAAAAATATTGTAATATATTGATTTGAAAATTTAGTTCTGTTCAGCTATTTCTTTAGAATATTTAAGAAAAAAAAACATGGGCAACCCTAAACGTTTTCAAATAAAAAACTCAGGATGTGAACAAGTTGATCAGAAATTATTAAAAAAATAAAAATTTCAATTTGTGATATATATTTATCTTGTTCAGATAATTTTGTTTAAAATTAGTATGCTAAAAACAACAGTACCTTAAAACAGACTGTGGTTAACAATCTTGTCATGAAAACTAGGTTTTTTTTAGTTACTCTTGGCGCCAAACAAAAGAATAAAGTTTTCGGAAAATAAAAAAATCAAGCCATCTTTTACAGATGCAATGAATAATGAGTACCTGCAAGTACATTTTGAAAATGCTTCATACCCTATTGGAAGGAATTGATTTTATTAGCAATTTCATAAATGGCCACTAATTAAATAAGATTGATAAAAAAAATAGTACATTTTAAAAGAAATTTTAAAATAAAACACAATTATTGAACTTCTATTATAAGACTATGATAATTTTTTTACCAGTTAAAACAAAATCACGGCTAATAGCCTAAAAATTTAAGGAGCTAAGGGTATCTCGTTATTTGAAAATAAAAATGCTTTGTCATGTTAGCTTGAATGATGTTAATTTCAACAAATAATTTAAAAGCACAAAAAAATTGTGAAATACTTACTTCCAAGTTACAAGTTTTTAATAAAGGTTTTTTTCTCAATGCTTTAGGACCAAATGTGACTTCATAACCTTCAGTGTCTAAAATGTGAAACCTTTTATTCTGCAAGACAGAGAGGATACAAATATAAGACATGCAAAATAAATAAATAAATCAAATAAAACAATTTATGATAAAAATGTTCAAACAATTAATTACGAATAAAGTTTTCAAAAAATGCCAAATTGTTACCAGTAATATGATTTTGAATTAGCTAATAACATTAACTCCACTGAAACATTGACAAAAACTGCAGCAATGCAATAATAGAGAACAGGGTGCATAGCCAAATCTTTCAACAAAAAATAAGCACATTTTAAGTACTTTTAAACATTTAAAAATATTTTAAAGCACTATATACATTAACAAAACGCAAAATAATTGATCACATTGACTTCACGTGATCTTGATAAAATAACTATTTCCTTACAAAGAACTCTTCTCTTGATTATGTTAGCCACCATAAAGAGATCAAAAGATTTTTCGGAGTACTTCAGAGGGTGGAAAATGAAGCCTGAATTTGAAAATATCTTGCAATATGCAGCAGAGTTGCACAGGAGATTGCAAAAATCTCACTGAACCCAGCTCAGTATTCGAAAAGGGAAAATTAAGCACATCTTAAAAACACTCAATAAAAAAAGCTCCTTTAAGTGCTTTTAAAAAACGAAAATCAAAAATAAGCACCTGTAACAGGGGTCTGTCTAGGTTTTTCTGAGAGGTACCTATTTTGTGAAAATTTAGATATAATTTGTGAAAAATTAAAAATTATATTAAAAAAATCAACACAAAAATTTGGATTTATTGTTTCTTAAGGGATACAAAAATAAAATTTTAAGAAAAAGTATTTTGTGAAACTACCGTTTTTCCTAAAATTGAATTTGTGAAACTACCGTTTTTCCTAAAGTTGAATTTGTGAAGGTACCGCTAAACGGTAGTAAATTCGGCCTGGACAGACCCCTGTTTAAGCACTTTTTAAAAATGCTATGCACCATAGAGTAAACTGTAGCAAAGAAACCATTGCATTGCCAAACTTAATAACACATAAATATTAGTGAATTTAATAAAGAAGTCCTGTAGCAGAATTAGCATTGCATGTAGTTTGGTAATAGGAAAAGTAAATTAATTTTGACTTTGTAAGCAAAAACATTGTTATGAATTTATACATAGTTTTTGAATAAATGTTTTAATAAAATTTTATTAGGGTTTGCGAAATTTGAAAAAGAATAAGCAAAATTTTTAAAATGCAAAACTGACACATTAATACTATTTTTAACTTAACATTTTAATAATTCATTTATTTGACACAAAACACCATTCAATTGGGTCCATGCAGAACTTTGGAAAGACTTAGATTGTTTTAAACTTTATTTTCTCTCAAACTTCATTTGGTTTAAGTAATATTTTATTTATTTTTTAAGATTTCATTTAATGTTGATTTTTTTTTATTTGCCTAAAGATGATTAAACTAAAAAGCATTTTTCTTTTTTCAATCAATTATTTTCAAACTAATAAGGGTAAAATTAATTTCAGATGTCTTCCTTTAGTGGAGCAGATATTTCATCACAGTTGGTAGTATTAGATATTTCAGTCTTTTAAAACACACGAACTTCCAAAGGGCAAAGTTTGAATAGAAATATTTTATCCAGCGCTCTGCAAATAAACTTGCTGGCCCTATAGCAGAATTTTTTCGAGCTATCTGCGACAAAACTCTACAGCACTTATAATTTTCTGTAAGATACTTTTATTAATAACCAACATATATGTTACTGATTTAAAATAATAAAAGCTCTGTGTTTACAAAAAAAAACTATATGTATATTTTTTAATTGAACATGAAATAAGTTTTCATTCTAATACTATGGGGATATTCTCCCATTTTGATGGGGGGGGGGAACAGACAAATTATTTTCTTTCTTGCATTTTGTAAATAATCATCTCAATAAAAAAAATAAAAAATAATGAATTCCTGAGAAGTAATTGCCGAAGAAAAGATCGACAATGAAATCACGCGATTCAGACTCCTCAAATGTGTGTTTCGTTTCGAGATTAGGTTGTTGTAATAAATAACATCGAATAAAAAAACATCGGGTTTTAAAACTATGAAGAAATTGACAACAATAACTGCCAAAAATTCGATAGAATTATTTCCTTCAAATCAAAATACTTAAATGCACGAATGGAATTTTTCATATTGTTTGAAATATATTGGGATATTTAAAATCCAAGTGAAAATCAATATCAATAACTGCCAAAAATATAATCGAAACATTACCGTGATTTAAGATACTATTGGCTTAAATTAAGCGCCTCAAAAAGTGATAATCTAAATAAATGATTTAAATTTTAGGTGTAAATTTCTGGATTTCTTCTTTTTTGTTGTTAACTTTGCAAAAGAAAAAACATTCTCTGTAACATTCTGCGACAATATCGCCGCGATTTTGCCACGGAGCTAGCAAGCTTTGCAGATCAATACAAAGGTTTCTGCTACTGGCAGTATAAATATGAATATATACAAATCTAATTGAAGGTAAAAAAAATAATGGTACATTTATATAACCAAATAATTAAAATAACCAAATTAAAAGTAAATTTAAGGTAAAAAAAAATCTTTATCATTGCATCAAATGAAATTAGCTGCGCCATCTTTTAATTTTTACTTCCAAATGGGAATTAAGATTATATTATACATCATTTTTCCAAAGTAACCCAGAGTTCAAGAATTGAATATAATTAACACATACACTCATAAAAAAAGGACACGATTAAAAAGCTGAATAGAGAATCAAATAAAATTACTTTAGCTGTTTCATTAAGCAACGTGATAGGAAGCTTTGTTTGACGCATTACTACTTGATATGGATCTTTTAAAGCCTTCCCTAACTCATCTTGAAAACGCTGAAGTGCATTTTGCCCAATAACCTTTGTATTTCCTGTAAATAAAAGTACAAATAGACATATATTTTTCTTTAAAGTGCAAATAGAAATTAAATAAGTGCAACACAATGTGTCCAACACAATATTGGATCACAATATACAATCAAGTGACTGAGTGTTACAATCAAATGGATGTAATCAAAGTAATACAATCAAATGGCTTAGCTTAATCAAATGGCATTGGTTTGATCCTCGCGTCGGACAAGGTTGGCTCAGCTTTTTATCCCTTTTCAGTAGGTCGATAAAATGAGAACAAAGCTTTAGCACCCCAGAGATCAGGGTAAAGAAAACTGAGATAGGCACAGTAGGCCATGGCCCTCAATGGGCTGTTGCACCACTGAGTTCAGTTTGGAGGATTACACTTAAATCTACTTCTAAATAAAGTAGCTTAAAGTATACTATTGATTAAAAAATGTTTTTTTTTAATTCAAAAAAACATAGATTTATTTTTTTAAAAATAAAAAGGTTTCAAAAAGAACATGTGTTAGGAATGAAATTCAATACAGTATAGTAGGTAAAAATATTCAAATAAAATTACTGCAAATTTAAAAGGAATGTTCATTAAATACAAGCGTCCAATACAACGACCTTACAATTATAATATGCAAAAAGTACAATGTTTCTTACATTCATTAGAATATCCCAATTTAAATGCTTTTCAGAATTTAAATTGCAACATTTTCTTTAAATTCAGAAAATCTATCACTTAATGATGAAGATTGAAAAGAGAGTTGTTTTGAAATTTAAATATAAGAATGATAATTTAGTAATTGACTTCAGATACTTTGACTTTCCAATTGAAAGAGGACAAGACAACCAGTGTTGTGAAATATATTTAAAATAGAGAAATATTTTTGCCAAAATTAACTAAACTAACATTTACTCATTGTTTATTCAGTTTTTTTATCAAAAAAAAAAAAAAAATTCAAAAGTAATCTTCTTTCTAACATGAATACAATCATTTACTTATGCAAAAAAACATATCCCATCACATTGCTAAAACATACACAACAAAATTTTATGAAAACTTTTTCTTTCATTAAATAAAAAATACTTCACAAGCAATCACTTAGAGCTTTCTATTGGTTAATTTGATAAAGATTTCAAGAACAATCTTATTTTAAATTCATTAAATTACCTTCAACATATGAATTTAACTAAAATTATTTTTATTTTTAATTAACATTTTTAAATGATTCAAATTTAAAATACAGTCGAGCCTTGTTAAAACAAAATAGATGGGTTGAAAAAATCTTTTTGCAATAACCCATAAAACAGCAAAAGGTATTAAGGATGATTTTAAATAACAAACCACTAAAGCAAAGATATTTTTAAAGGATAAATGTTTTTAAATAAATGTTATATAAATAAAAAATAAATGTAAAAATGTATTTATCTAAGTTAGACCCAAAAAAAAAACGCTTATTGAAAAATAGTTCATTAATGTTTGATTGAAATTTTGTAGTCTACATTTGTTAATTGATTAAACAAAGAGGCTTTTCTCTCCAATCATTTTTACAACTAAAGTTCTTCTTTCAACACCCATTTTCAATTTTGCTTAACTTAATTTTCTGACATGGGTAACACTTCGTTACTTCCCCCTTTCTCAGGGAAGGATGGAAAAGGAAAGAACAGCCTGGTTGATAAAAGTGAAACTCTGGGGCACACCTCCAGACATAGCAATATCAATTTGAAAGTCAATGATTGGCCAAGTGAACGTCCAACAATAAAAGAAAACAACATCAACGTCTACAGTCAGCTATTTTAGTGAGAAAAAAAAAGATCCAGAAATCATGTTTCAATGACATAACTCTCCAAAAGGTGGCAAATCAGAGAGAGACACTTTACACACTTTAAACTTTTACTTATATTCACCCTTAAAAAAAAAGCAGACAAAAATTATAGAGTCAAATTTCAGTGTGAAAAAAAGGGAAAGAAATAAGAACATTACCAAACCATTTTTGATTTGGAGCTATTCTTGCCACTGATCCAGGAGTTAATCTTTCTTGAAAAGGAGCCTCTCTGATAATTTTGCCTATTTTATTTCTAGAATAAAAAAAAACATATTATGAATAATTATATATTAAAACAAAAAAATCTTATGAATCCTAAACATAGATATTTTGTAAAGGAAAAAAAAAAGGAGAGCAACTAAAATCAATGCTTAAAAATAAATATGTTATAGAAAAAATGAATAAACATATATTATTTCTTTTTACCATTTCTGATTAAACAATGTAATAAAGTTGACAAGATAATATTTAAAAAGAGACTGATGACTTTGATGTTACAACAAATGGAGAAGAGAATTTTAAATTATTATTTCATCAATTTCAAATCTTGATTTATTTTTCAATATATATGCAAAGAAATATTGATGCGAATAAAAGTGGCCACAAACACACAGAAATTTTTTTTCCAGAGTATATGGTAAAATATTTCTGTTCAATATTTCACAACAGTTAGAAAATTAAAGAATAATATCTGATAATACAATACATGATAAAATAACTTTGCTACTAAAAGAAAGAATTTAAAATTAATGAACAGAAACTTAATTAAAAGATGAAAAGCTAACTTTTAAATGTTAAGCTGTCAATACAGGAGAGAGCAATATTTTAAAATTATTTTTGTCAGCAATTTTTTTAATGCTTGCTTTAGTTTCGTCTTCATTTTGCACTCACCTCTGAGGTAAAACATAATACTGGTATATTGATCATGGGTTTTTTATGGCTCCGCAAAAAAAAAGGTACCAAAAGTTCAGAAAATCAAAAGAAAGAGAGAAAACAATAATCTTTTAAATCTCTATATAATATAATAAGAGGTCTACAAATTCTGGTTGCCTGGTCACTTAAAGAATCATAGCTCGCACCTAATATTTCAGTAAAATTTAATTTATTTTTCAAATCAGATAATAATTGTAACTAATTTAATAATAGAAAATCTTACTATTAGATCCTAGAAATTTCAAATTTTTGAAGATCCCTGAATATAACTATAAATAATAAGCACAAAAAAAAAAATTTTATACTCTATATTTTAAGGGGAATATATTTTGCCTTTATCATCATAAAAACAGTTCTTCTTTAATTATCACAAATAAGTATTTTAGGTCGGGATAGCATTGTTAGTAGGGCACTGGGCCCACGTCCAAGAATTTGGAGCCGGCCGAAGACTTCCCGTGCTATAAAATGGTGACTGATGCACGTTAAATCTGTCGAGTCGCAAAGTCCCCCATGTTCCCATAACAAACCAATACCTCTAGGGGTAATGATCCAGGAGTTTCCTTTTCTTCTGGATTGGCTCAAAAATTAGAAGGCTACGGAGTTGAACATTAGTAGTCGTAAATCCAAAATTGGGTCAGCTGTTCAACGGCGGTTAAAAGAAAAAGAAGTATTTTGGCAGGGATTTTTAAATTTTGAAAACGCATTTTTTTAAAATTAAATTATTTTTTAAAAGAATACTGGGACAAAATAATCACATTTGTAAAAGCAGACATTTTCTGAAAAAGTTCTGGAGAAAAATATTTAGTTTTTAGATAAAAATTATTCTGTTTCCAAGGAATACTATGAGTTTGCAGATACTTTTAGTTCATGTGGGTTATTTTTTGGTCATACTCTGCAAAGTACAGCTTTCGTTTTAATGCATAGAAATAGGAGCTGAACACAGTACCAAATTTTAGATTGAAAATAAAATGGACAACAATGTTTTTATATGTTTATAAAATTGCTCCAAAAATTATTTTAAATATAATTCCATATTAATGGACTCAATTGAAATGAAAATAACAATTAATTTTTAATAATACAGGGCCGCTTTTAACACATTATGTAAATTAATGCCAGGGGAATTTATTTAAAAATTACTAGTAAAAAAAAAAACTCTTTTTAGTATGGGTAAAAAATCGGTTCCAATGCCTTCAATGGTGGTAAAAACTGAATGATTAATTCAAAAAATTAATAACTAATTCCAAAGTAAGATAAAAGAATAAATAAATAAATTATATGTGCCTATGATCCTAAAGTATATGCGAACTGATAATAATTCCTAATAACAGAATGATTTTATTCTAAAAACAACAAAAAATTAAATATCTTTATAACTATTCAAAGCAATTTGAAATATGGTTCTCATTTTTGTTTAATGATTAGCCTATTAAATATTCAATTCTGTAGAAATATACTTCGTAAAAAAAAATTTTTTTTTTTTACATAAACGTATGTATTTCTTAAAAAAGTATTCACAAATTTAAAGAACTTCTGTGAATATGTTGGCACATGGGTTGCATCTATATTGCAATTGTTAATTTCAGAAAAAATGTATATAACATTATAACTAAACTAATTTATTGAAAAATATATATCTTTCACAATCATAACTGATTTATTAAACAAAAGTGTAACAAGATGGGGAAAAAACTGTGAAATTATCAGAACATTTGTTACTAACTTTAAAAATGTAATAAAAGGGTATACTTTACCTTTTAGGTTTAAAATTTTTATACATTCTCAAACGATTGATTGTGCTTTTGTCTCTCATGTTTGGATTTGTCCTTTCCCTATCTAAAAAGGATAATAAGAATAAAATTAATACAAGATTGTCACACAAAGATGGACAACTTCAAATTGCTCAAAAATTCATGAGCAAAAATTTAAAAACCTTCATATCTTTTTATGGTTTAGGCATAGATGTTCTAACAAGAAAAGAAAAAAAAGAGGTACTTGTGAAAATATGCAACTTCAGTTTTGTAGAGCAGTGGTCCCAAACCCCTGGATCAAATGGTACAGGGCCACTCAAGAAACATTAAATTATTTGTATTTCATTTACTAGTGTATTTCTTCCGAGTTTGTGCGACTTTCCATAGAAGAGAGTTTAAGAGGAAGATGACAGATGTCACCAAAAGCCTCACATATACCATGCATCTGACTGTACAAAATTTTGAAAGAGTGGGGAGAGTTGTTATCGATAATGTCAACCATCATCCATGAAAAAGTACCCCGGTATAGAATGAAGTTAACATGCTTTATATACATTGGAATTGGAATTATATTTTGGTAGTAGTAGACGCACTACAGTACTCCCACACCAGAATTATATATGTGATAGAATTTGATGCCACTAGTTGATTCATTGCTGTTTTGAGAGAAGCCAGGGGAACTGCATTAAGATCACCCAACTTTGAATGCTGATCGTGAGAGCTGTATTAAGTTCACGGTCATGGCTTTTCCTGCAGTGCCATTAGCAGTCGAGTGTATACGTTGTACGTTATGTGTGGTCGAGACAGAGAAGCAACAGCATGAGGAGGTGGATTATGTCAAGAGCACAAGTAGCAAGTCAACTGTTTAATGTGTACTATCCACTGAAACAGGCACGTTTAAATCGTAGTGCACTTTACTGTCAAGTTAGGCAAGTTCATATTGAAGTGGGGGTTTTAGTCAAGTTAGGCATGTTCCCATAAGCAAAATATTTTCAAATGTTCTGCAAGCATTTCACAGCAAAAAGAGGTCAATTAACGTTAAAATATTATATTTTCATTTATTAAAATACAGGATCATGCACAGATACACTACATTATTTTTTAAACCAAGACCAACATTCTTGATTTGTTACTTTTTCAATCACTTTTGAAGTACAAAATTTTGCTAATAACGATGATGATGAATTATTAATAAAATGCCTATGATATGAAGGTCCGAAAATTAAAATAAGGTCTGCCTTAAAAGAATGCATGAGATTAAGGTTGGGGATTGTTCTGCAAAACTATCAGAGGCAGGTGGGCGGGAGGTTGCGGGAAAACGCTGTCACTTATTCAAGATACAAATTGTTCAGCAGGACTTTGTTTGTTCTGCGACGTACGTCACAGTTTTAGGCACTTTCTGCTTTTGGGGGCATGTTCATATCATGTCTGAAGGTCACCAATGTGGGAAGTGAGTAGTTATTGAGAATGTCAACCTTCATCTATGAAAAGGTACCCCACATAGAATCGAGTTAATATGTCTTATATACTAGGGAATTGGAATTATATTTTTTTAGTAGTAGATACACCACAAAAGTTTATTCAAATAAATATAAATTAGTAAATCAAAACAATTAACGTCTCTCACCACAGCAAAATTATAAGACTTTGGTCGGTCAGTGGCAATAAAATGCTGGTGAGCATCATTGCAGGGCGCATTGCAGGGGCAGTGATTTCTCTAGACTTTAGAAATCATGGGTCCTTAAGACACATGACTTTCTATGAATAAGTTTTGATGTTTAATAATAGATTGAAATTACATCGAATTGACATGATCATTGCCCTGCCAATAATTAAAAAATTTTCAGAGTTCATTATCTCTGAGATTTGCAAGAAGTTTTATCCCTGAAATATTGGTCCACATTATTTCAAAATATTTTTTAAAACCTTTCTAAGGTCATGGCCTTTCTAAGTATATTTACTACCACTATAACTTTGACATGTCATTTGTTATTAAATTCAGCTCTGATGATGTAATATTAAATAGAGTTGGTTACAATATGCTTGTTTTTACGGAATGTAAAAAAAAATTATAATACAGTACAGAACCAGTTATCCAGAAATCAGAAAACCGGAAAATCAAAAAACCGGAATGAAATTCGATAAATTTTCCCGCAATTTAAAAAAAAAAATTTTTTTCCTCTTAAGATTTTAGGATTTTTCTTTCTTTTTTGAAAGATGTTTACCTTACCATCATTTTGGAAATAATTATTAGTGTATTACTCAATCATTTTTTCTTCTTTTTAAGATTATTTCCAATATTTATTTTTAGGCAGATAGGTTTAACAATAAAAAAACGGCTTTTTGTAGCGATTCAGAAAACCGGAAAAATCAGTTATCCGGAATAGCGATCGTTCCATATAATCGGTTCCCTACTGCATATAATTCCTTTTACAGTTTGGAGTAATTATGAAATTTATTTTACAAATGAAGAGAAATTAAATTTCTTTTTTTATTAACACATTCTGGGTAGTAGTAAATATACTTACCACAAAAAAAAAAATTTTTAAATTCAAATTAATTTTCTCAACTAATCTAAATGAATTTTTTCTTCTAAATTCAAAAAGTATTTTAATGTACCTTTACTAAAAAAATGTCCTATTAAAGGGTTAACTTAAATATTTAACAGTAATAAAACAAGATAGTGCTAAAAAAAATATTTATCATTTTTAAGAAAATGTAATTCACCACTAATAAAAAATAGTATTATCTGAATTTTATTGTAAAAAAAAAACTTTAAATGTTAACTAACAGATTAAGACCAAGAAAATTCATAAAAAACGATCAGGATTAAAAATTTGTGTAAGGAAAAATATATTTTAAATGAGAACCAAATTGTTAAATCACGATTGAATAATGCGCTATGCAAAGCATAGTATTGTAACAGAAAAGAAAATGCATAAATTTGACAACGCAGCATATCACGTTTTAATGAAATGACTTTATTTACCTATATTTACTAATCTATATTTACTAATTCAACTTGTTTACTTTGCTCATTTTCGTAGTCGACATATATTATAAATATGAAATTCAATAAACTTCCCATAATACATATTGAACTTTTATGAATAAAGACAAAACCTTATATCAATAAACATAAGAAAAAGAAGTTCGATAATTTTACCAGGATTTAAACTATGAGATGCCTTGCTCAAAGGCCGGTCTCTCACAACTTTCGTTCTTTTCTTTGTTTTTGACATTGTAAAGTTAGTATTTATAACACTATTAATAAGTAATTTTCAAATCTAAACGGAGAAAAAAATTGAGCACTAATTTTACTCGTTGCGTTGTTATTGTTGGCCAACACATGGATCCAAAAGGAGGAAGCTATATTTGGAGCATTTAACCGAATGTTGCAATTTGCTTGTAGCTTAAATTGAGGATAATAAATCTTTGCAATAATGTTAACTGTTAACCTCAACAATTTGTCATTTATGTTTTCTGCCCTTTTAAAGATGTTTATTTATGTCCTAAGTTCTGATTTGTTTTTCTCATTGGAATCTTTACGATTCAACATTTTAACATTTAAAGAATTTTACTTGTTGTGTGGACTTTTAATTAAATCAAATACGCATCATCATTTCTCTGAGTAGAAAAAACAAAAATTGATGCAGTATTATAGAATTGAACGTAATAATTGCTACTTTCCGATGTTGTTATATGGAAAATGTGAATTATGCTTTTCACTACCTCATATGAGAGCGAAAAAAGTGGTCTTACCCATCCCAATGCTCTAGAACATAACTTCAGTGAAATTCAGCAGTTCAGTTCTACTTTAAATCCCAATATCTCAATGGAAAATGCTTCATATAATTTTAGTGATAAAGAAAACTTCAACTCGACATCCTCAGCTTTTCTGAACTGGACTTATTGTTTCTATTATTTGACAGCAACGCCAAATCATGCTCTTTTTCAGATAGCCAATGTTTTTCTTTTCCTTTCTTACTTGGCGCCAGTGGGTGTTCATGGTTTACTTTTCCTTCGATCTTGTTTGATGTTGGGTTCTCTTTTCTTTGCTCTGTGGGGTTGGATTGTTCTATGTGCCTTCGATACCTTCCTCTGGAATGCAGTATTCACATTAATTAATTTCATACATGTCATTATACTTTTGTACATACTAAGACCAGTGAAATTCAATAGAAAGTTAGAAGAGATCTATAAAGAACTGTTTCAACCCCTTCGAGTTTCACGTCATCAATTTAAACGAATTGTTCATTGTATGCGGGAAATAAAGAGCTTGAAACCTAAAGATCCTTATTGTGTTGAAAATGTAACTAAGGTGGATCGCCTTTCCTTGGTTATTTCTGGCAGGTAATATTTAGGGAATAGTTCCTTATTGGCACCTGTTCACGCCAACTACTATCACCAAGGCACAGGAACATGTTTCTATTTGCAAAAAATATGTTGTGGTATGTCTAGGAGTTGGTCTCCAGGGATCTGTCCAGGCCAAATATACTACCGTTCAGCGGTACTTTCTCAAATTCAACTGTAGACAAAATGGTAGTTTCACAAAATACTTTTTCTTAAAATTTTATTTTTGCATCCCTAAAAAATCGATAAATCCATATTTTTGTGTTGATTTTTTGATATAATTTTTAATTTTCACAAATTATGCCTAAATTTTTACAAAATGGGTACCTCTCAGAAAAACCTAGACATACCCCCGGTCTCCTTCCGTGATGCTTTTTTTTTTTTTTTTAAAGTTCCGGTTGCACGGTTGTCACCAAAATTTGGTGCAGTAACTGATTCAAAAATATTTTTAATAATCAAGTAAAACTCGGTGAAATTTTTCATTCAAGATCCTGTGACAAAACTTGATAATATCTGTATCGAGGCCAGGATAGCCTGGTTGGAATGGCAGTGGGCTCATGTCTAAGAGTTCGTGGGTTCGATCCCCGCCGGCCGAAGACTCCCTGTGAAGTAAATGAGGACTGATGAAAGTTAAATCTGTTGAGTCACTATATCCTCCATGTTCCCATAACAAATGAATACCTCTGGGTGTACTGGTCCAGGAGTTTCCGTGTCTTCTGGATTGGTTCAAAATTACAAGTCTAAGGAGTTGAACATTAGTAGTCATGAACCCAAAATCGGATCTGCTGTTCAGCGACGGATATTAAATTCATTAAATAACTGTCTCAGAGCCGTGGTGGCTTATGAGATAGAGCGTTCGCCTTCCAATCAGGTAACCCAGGTTGAAATCCCAGTGATGGCTGGTCAATTCCTCTCCATGTTACGCAATTGGGGGTCAGTTTTATCAAAAATATCCGTATCAGTAACTACCTGGACTTGTGTTAAAACAATTGCCAGCTATCAGAGATAATTTGGCAACGATACAAATTAATGTTTATTCATGTTAGTAACTTAATAAACATTACAGCATGGGACAAACTTGAAAAGTGGAAATAGGGCCAACCACTATGTGTTTATTTTTAAATTTATTGTAGTATAGCAACTGAGCAATTTTATTTGCCGCCTCATTTATTTCTGGTGGCCTGAACAGGTACTAATATTGAAATAAATAAAAATCATAGTATATACTATATAGGATAAACTTAAACATGTTAAGTTTGTAGTTACCTTTGGAGAAGCCCTTACATCAGGGTTTGCACAAAACCTAGTTTTTTTTTTTTTTTTTTAAGAGCACAACCCACCTGAGTTTTCTTATATCTAAACCCAGGCTTCTTCGGGTTTTATTAGAGTTATTTTAAATATTTTTCATGATCCTAATGTGATTTTCAAATATTTATCACTTGTTTTGTTGCAATTTAAACATTGATTACGAAAGTTTTAAACTGTTTGGTTATTATTTTTATAGGATAATAACGAACAAATTGTTGCATTAAATTATTAAATTGAAAGATCCCAAAATTTTTCACTACATTAACACAGATTTAGTTACAGTTCTATTTTATTTAGGTAAAATTCAGTTACCATTGCATTTACCTACAAATTTTTTTTTAAAATTTCTATTTAACTTTTTCTCAATATAGAGTTATTTAAATGTTTGTTATTTTGTTAAATGGTTAATATTTATGTTCTGTAAGAATAATTATGATTAACAATTTTGTATTTTTAATTTTGACTGGAAACTGTTTAAGCTAATTTAGTTATTTCTGTTCTCCACATGTATTTTTATTAAATGTTACATAACAATGTAATAATTACAGGATTACTTTATATAATAAAAGAAATGCAATTTTAGTTTAGATTTTAATTTGAAAGAATAGAAATCGAGCCACGTTAATAGTCCAGAATAGCATTAAGAATGCATAATAAATAACTATTGCCAATAAATGCCTTTAAAGTTAGATAAATAATTTGTAAATTTGGTAAGTTAACTGCCATTTGCCAGTATGAAAAGATATTACTTACTATTCATACCCTACAATTCTTTTAATTCTATTGTAAATTTTATAAGTACAAAATAATTCATCACACTTATAAAATAAATCTTATATGAGTATTATAATTAAATGCTTTCAATTAATAAAACAGATTACTTAGTTGGTTTTATATTAGTTTTGTAAGTTAAGCATTGTAAGGTATAGTGTGTCTAAAATAAGAACTCCCCCAGACATTCGTCTGAACCAGTGGCCGTGACTATGGCAATGAAGTATTACTTTTTCAAGTAGGGGTGCAGGGTCACTGTTTTGGAGTGGTCTCTGGTCGGTGAGAGAAAGGGAATCTCTTTCTTCGATCTATTGTGTTAAGTCCAGAGATGATTATGCTCCAGAAAAAATACAGATTTTTTGCTGACCGCGATCGGAAAATCCAAGATCCAAAACTTTCAAGAAATCATCAATCACATCTATGTAGAAAAATTCTTGTATATTTTATTTAAAAACATTAGAACTAGAATTTTTACTTGTCATCTCTTTCATTTGTAAATATTTTTTTTCTGGTAGAATGATAAATGTGATTAGTGATAAAAGTAAACTTATACATAATTAATTTAAATTACGACACATATAATTTATTTAGAATTTCATGTTGTGAAAATATCAATGATTTAAATTTATTAAGACATTAATTTTTTGAAATGCGTCATTAAAGATTTTACCCCAAAAATTTTTGAGTTGGGCTCACAATCACCCTTGTAAGTCTTAGCGTGAAGCTACCCTCCCTAAAATGCACCATTCTTGTTTCCATAGCATCAGATTGCCTCAGACTTCGTGGCGGGAGGAGTTCTAAGCTTAGACAAACTATACTTTAATGTTCACTTATTCACAAGAATGTTATTATATACTAAAATGCTTTATTGATTTCAGACTTGTTGTTTCCCAGAATGGCCGTCCTCTACACATTGTGGACAACAAGCAATTTTTGGACTCTCCTGAATGGTTTGGAGTATGTACGAATGATACTTACCAGGTACTACCTTATGTACATTGTTATGCTGAAAAACAAAATAATAATTTATAGTTTACTCGTGAGAGCCATCTGAATTTTGAGGATTTCCCTTTTCTGTATTATGAGGGAAAATTAGCATTAAAGAATACTTTTCTATCTTTTTGACAAATTTTGTATGTTTTCTTTCAATTGTTATTTTTATTTATTTTATTTTCAATTGTTATTTTATGTATCTGTATTTTGTGATATTTAGCAACTGCTTGACCAATGAACATGAGGAATTTAGTAACGTTAACAGATTTCATTTTAAGCTGACCTGCCCCTCTCCCACTTGAATCTTTTAAAAAAATTTCCAAAAATTCTTGTCCTATATTAGGAAACTTATGTTTATAATAATGTAATCCTTAGTATTTGAATAGATGCCCCCTCTCCACCTGGCAGTCTAAGGGTGTTTATTATCACTAGAAACTATTTTACGTCTAATCATTATCAATTTGCCTAAGAGAGAGTTTCGGGTATTTTAAAAAGACTGCTAATTCAAGAAGGGAAAAAAAATTAGTAAATAAGCAATTTTAGGAGAAAGCAGAGTTTGAAAGAGCCTATCCCCGAGCTCCCTTAGGTTTTTTTATTTCAGTCATTTCTTTTTAATGAGCTCAGTTTACTTCTTGATCGCCTTTTCAGTGATTATTTATACAGAATTTTACATTGTTTAAAAAAAAAAAGCAATATTTTTAAAACAATACACAAATTATTTTTTTCGTTTCACACCTTATTTTTACCGATTTCATCAGAAATCCAAGTGACATTTCTGCAGTTGTAACTGCCATTTAAAATCCCGATAGATTTAATACGATTTTCCGACTTATTCAGTTGTTTAGTTTTGAAAATCTTCATATTTTTAATATGTTATTTCTATGAATCTCGAAGTTGAATCACACATTTAAATAATAACTTTTTAACAAGCTCTCTTTGTGCCAATGAATTACTGTAAATCCAAGTTATTTGTCTTTAAGACAGTTTTTCTATATGATTTTGAAAGTCCTGTATTTTTACTACCATATTATTACCACATGCGAGTTTCAAATCTCCCACTTAAATAACCACTTTTTGGAGCACTTTATTTCTGCTGATTTCATCATAGATCCAAGTTGTTTTTTAAGCATATTTTTTTACGGATATTGTTATGCATTCCCACATGGTTTTAAATAATTCTGATATTTTTATTACGAAGTACAAATTTTAAATCATGCATTTAAATAATTATGTATTGACATGCGTTATTCACATTGATTTCATCAAAAATATAGGTGCTTTTTTCTTTAATTAGTTTTAAGTGTTTATGAGGATCTCGTTAGTTTAACTGCAATGTTATTAGAACATGCAAGTAACTAATCACAAATTTAAATAATAACTTTTTGAAACAATGTATTTGTGCACATTTCATCATAGCATGTTGCAACATGAAAAATTCCAAAAGTGGATGCAAACGCAAAATTGTAAACTGCTTACTGTTTTAAATTTTGTGTTGCTAGAGTTATTTTTTTAGAGTAAAAGAAATTACTATTTAGCATTCACAAAACCTCTAATAATTCAATAAATAGACATATTTTAAATATATCCTACACCAAATAAATATTGAATCTTATTTTGTTCTATAACAGTTTCTTTTAAACCCTATAAGGTTATTTCAATGAAAAAATTTGTATTTATATTACTCATTGAAATATTTATTTATTTTTTTATATGTAATATTTTATTCTCTCTGTGAGCATTGCAGATTTTTTTTTTTNTTTTTTTTTTTTTTTTGTTGCTGTTAGAATTTATTTTAAAATTAGCTTTAACATTGTTTGATATAATTTAAAAAAATTCTCCAATATTTATATTTTTTTGATAAATATATTTTTGATAAAAACGAAAAAATATTTTTAAAAAAATGCAATTTTTTTCATTTTTGAATAAAATTTAATAATTAAGAGTATTTAATTTTCTGTAAATATTAAATTAACAGATAAAAACTTTAGGGCTTAACACTAATGTTTACTTAAAAATTACCATATTTGTCGTCAACATGTTTAAATGCGCATGCGGCCCTTCATTAGTCAACTTGCTTTGCAAGTGGCTCTTCACTCAAAAAGGTTGTCACCCCTTTTTTCTAGTTTTTCATTATTAACAACTTATGTTCGATTTATAATTAATTATATATGTGTGTGTGTATATATATATATATGTATATATATTAAGTTATGCTGATAGTTTTGTGTTAATGCAGCTTACTTAATATGTCTAAATTCGCAGTGTTGATCAACTTACAAATTGACCAAGATCATTGTGCAGTTCTTGTGTGACGTAAATAAAATACTAGTTCATTTAAAAGATTCTAAAATACACGTTTGAAATCACAAAAAGATTAATTTGGTTGATTTTCTTTTTTTTAAAACTAAATAAAACTTATGGTAGAAAAAGAATTGAAAAGGTGAATAAAAATGTCTAACCAAGAAGTAAATGCCTGTTAATTTAGGTTAATAATTTTCATTGTTATAGCCAAGTTGTCAATATTCATAATCAACAATTTGCAACTAAAAATATTTTAGTCATTAGAAATTTGTAAAATTATTTATATGCATTTTGATCGTTTAAAACCTACTTTTTTTAATTATTCAGCTATTTTCACTAATTCAATTTTTTTAATTTAAATATTTTAATCAATTATTGAAATGTTTTGCTTATGTATGTAAAAAAATTTAATTAATTTTTAAATCATCTGCTCGCTCATCAAGGATATTACAGGAATCCCATCAAAGGACAAAAAAAATTTTCAATACAATTAATAATACAGGTTTTATTTATAATTATCTTAGGTTATTTCTTCCAAAATAATAAACAAATTGAAGTATTATTGATATCACACTCTGTTGACAAACTTTGTGACTAATCATGAAATCTGGAAGGTATTAATAATATAGTTATCTAAGCAAAATATAGAATAGTTTCTTTCACTTCGGTTTTTCTTAATTTTTAACGTTAAATATTTTTAAAACACCTGTTTTTTTTTCTCGTTTTGTTAAGAAAGCACAGTTAAGTGGGTTGATTTTTTTTTACTGCTAATAATGCAAAGAAACAGTCTCTCTTTTGCATTTCTGAGAATATTGTAAAACAGGTATATTGCTAAAATGTTACTATAATGACTTTACAAAATCTGTGACAACTGATCAAATCAACTTAAATTCATAGATTCTACTTAAGATTGTGTCAGGTACTGGCACTAAAGATTCTTTTATGTTGATTTATTAGTTTTTATTCACTTATTAATTTTTACTAAGTTATATGTTTTATGAATTAAAATGAGGTTCCTATGGTTAGTTTTACTACCTTACATATTTATTTTAATAGTGCTAGCTTAAATGGTAATTTAATATTATTTAATCAAAATTTTACTTCACTAACAATCCATTATTTTAAAATAATGTAAATGTATGACCTGTTTATCTATTTGTTATTCAATATTAAAAAAAAACTTTTAAAAAATGCTTATCAAAGACTTAAAAAAAATTAATAATTTTTACTCTATGCATGAGGTAGTATTTAAACAAACATATTAATAACTCCTTCTGTTTAATTGTTTTTTACTTCTATTTAGCTATTATTTTAGATATTATATATATATATATATATGTAACATAAAAATATTCAATGAATTTTTTTATATTATTCCTTTTCTGTAAATCCTTTTCTTCATTTATTATTCAAAACGAAATGGTTTCTCACACTTTTAAATTCACATCCTGTCTTTTAATCTATTTTTGGTTCAAGTATGCATTAATTAAGAGTAAGAATTTTTTCCTTTGCTCTTTGTGGAAATCACATGACCTATTTAATAAACCAATTAAAATTACTAAGTTTCCCCTTATTCCCTAAAATGAAGCATTTTACAAATTTAGTTTCCCAGCTTTTATTGAGCAGCATGACGATTTAGTGTCACTCTCTCTCTTTTCCATCATCACATCATGATTAAATAAAATTAATTTGCTCTTTTTAAAATCCTGTGCCTGCTTGTTCTGCTCACATGACTGCCACCATTATATATATATTCTTAATTCTGCATCACCGAAGTCAAGCATCACTGGCTGCGGTCAGTGTGCGGGTGGGTGACCCACTTGGATCAGTCTGCGTAGGGACCGAGGGTGTGCGGTATTGGTCCTCGTTAAACTGTGCTACCGTAAAGTGCTCGACTTCGCGCGCAGGTCGTCGGGCTACCGAAGCGGGGGTGCCATCCCCTTCGCAGAGGATCAAAATTGTGATGGCATGTCTTCGGATCATCCTCCGGGATGTTTCCCAGACCGTCGCCAATAGCCCATTGTGCAGCTCTAGTGCGACGTAAATTAACAATAACAACAACAATAACAATAATAATAATTCTGCTATCTTTATACCTGTAACCTGAGAAACCCTTTATTTCAGGTGTCTATAACTGCTCTAGAGGAAAGCCAGGTTCTTGTGTGGCACAGAGATAAGCTAAAATTGTCTATTTGCAATGATTCTTTTCTCCAAGCTGTGTTTGACAATATTTTGGGTAAAGATGTTGTGAAAAAGTTATTGCTTGTATCAGAGACATCTTGCAATGGGAATGGATTTTATGTGTGTGAAGACGTCGTTGCGGAGACTACTAAGCTACTTGCCAAAAGTAAAAACAAACCGGGGCAAACAGGTTTAAGTGTACTTCTTTCTCGACAAGTGAAAAGTAAGATTTGTTCTTTTTTCTCTGCAGCTTCTAACTATTTTAAGCAGGGCCTTTTGGTCTGTAAATTTTATTGCAATTTATAAAGCATAATGCTTTTAAAAAGTGCTTTCAGGTGCTTATTTTTGGTTTTCATTTTTTATAAGCCCTTAAAAGGTGCTCTTTTCATTAGACGTTTTAAAAAAATGCTTAATTTTTCCCTTTTGAAAATGGAATTTTTTCTTTTTTTTGTTGATTTTCACCATGTATTATGCAAAAGCGTGCTTTTCACTATCCATTCAACCACAATCCATTTCGGCGTACTGTCGGTCCATAGCCTATGAAAGCGGTAATTATTTTACATGTTTGATGAAATACTTATGAGTCCACATGTGCATCTACTTAGCTGGGATCATTGAGATTATTGTTGCACCTTGATGGGCAACTCTGTTGCATTTTGCAAGCTATTCTCCAATTTCAGACATTTTATAATGTCTAATATAATCAAGAAAAAGAAAGGAAGTCAGAAAATAGTTATTTTATCATGATCATGTTAAGTCTTTAAAAATTATTTTGCATTTTGGTAGTGTATATAGTGCATTTTTTTGAGTGCTTGAAAAGTTCTTAAAAGGTGCTTATTTTTTGTTGAAAAATATGGCTACGCACCCTGATGAATCATTTTTTAGATAATGAATAAAATCATATATCATATAATAAAATGATATATTGTTTTTTATATAATGAATGAAAATATTTAAGAGTTGTAAACGTTATTGCCGAAGCTTATCCCAAATTATAAACTTAATTATTTAAAGTATTGGAAAACTTTAAAAAATACATTTATCCACTTCGAAATACTTAGAAATTTAGACATGAGAAAAATATCCTTTTAATTGTTCTTCTTTATAATTAGTCCCTAGAAGTAATTGTCCATACCAAGGTGTTTTCTTTGGGTTTTTTTAACATCTATTTACTAGATTGTGCTGTCTTAAATGGCAAAGGTACAGGTTTTGGCAAACAGTTTATGATGTCTCGTTTACTCTAATTAAGTGAAATTTATTTGGTTCATTGCTACTGCTATAAAAAATTTATCATCTTAAATTTACTGAATGTTTAATTAAGTGTCTTAGGACTGTAATCAGAACGAATGTTTGTGATTCTAAAAAATAAAAAAGTTATAATATTTGTGACAATAGAAAAAAAATGCAGTTCGAGTCTCTATAATTCGAGTTTCCTGTAAATTCGAGCTAGTGAGAAAAAAAATCAGGCTTGTTCCAAAATGATGAACACTTATGCAACGCGTGTAACACTTACTATGGCAGGTTTTTATTTATGTAATCTTCTACATTTTGTAATCTTCTCCTGGTTTAATTGAAATTCTCCTGGTTTTTGTACATTTTAGAAAATTTCCTAAAATTGAGTAAGTTTTCTAAAAAGTCCCTATTAAAATAGAATTTTTGTACGGATTATTTCTTGCTTGAATAATTAAATAATTATTACTAATACATAATGAACCAAACCTCAAAAAATCATTTAAAACTTTTTATTGTTCGAAAATTTTCAGTTTATTTTTATTCCGAGCTATCTTTTTAAATTAATTAAAAAATCTTTTAACTATCTTTGATTAATTAAATGCCAATTAATATTCGAAATTGTGATGAATCATAATACATAACATTTCAAGTATGTTTCATGTCAATCATAACTAGAAAATATTGCAGATTTTCTATTTTGATGACAATAAATATCCCTGAAATTCCCTATGTATAAAATGTTTAGTACATTTTGCAACAATTATCATGAAATTAATATTATTTTGAAAATCCACTGGATTTTTTCCTATCCATGTTGGCAGCTTTGAATGTAATATATTTTTCAATTAAATACTGAAATTGCTTTTTCCCATTTATTTAAATATTTATTAAGTTTTATGTTCTTGAAAATTCGAGGTAAACTCGATTCTCTTGACCTCGAATTATCGAGACTCTTCTGTATATGAAATAGAATAAATATTATTTTTCAAGGAAATGACTGGTGCAATCTGGTGAACATCCTCCAACTGTGCCTCCTAATATCTGTTTTTAAATGGTTCAGTGGTTATAAATATTTTCTGAGGGATCTGTTTATGATAAAATAATTAGTTTCTCCCGAGCATTTACATTAGCTTATAAATAGTTAATTTATTGATTAACATTATATCTTTACATAGACCATTTTCTTTTTAGTGTCCATCCTTGTAAAAATGTTCATCTTAGTTATTTTGTGTTGTTATATATTAATTTTCAGTGAATTAAATAAAAAAATCAAGACATCACCAACCAATATTTGAGTTGAAAATAAGCCTTTTAATATCTTCTAATATTTTTAGTATATTTCATAATATTAGCTTTGTCGCATGTTAGCGAATTTTCCTTTTTAAATCTAGAAATCTCTTCACGCGAATGACAATTTCTAATAAGCAGTAAATGGCTGAGGGACGTCACAGGACGAGAACCTATCAACGAATGCCAGATTTTTTCTCCTCGGTTTTCAAATTTCGACGCTGAGTGTGTAGCAGTCAGTTCATTTTTTGGGGGGGTTCTCGAAGAGGGTCGGCCTGATGGCCTTGATCATTGATGGATCCATCAATCAGATAAGTACCCCATTTCAATTAAAATTTTAATTTTTTATTTAATTTGCTGGAAACTGATATATAACAGTGTCAAATGAAATCAACTAGATAACCCTTTGCTAACTTTGAAAATTGATAGGTGATGAAGTATCAATTTATGTGTAAGACGATATAGTGAAAATAAAAATTTAATCTTTTTCAGATCGAGAAACCAACGTTTGGACGCTTGCCAAAAAAGGACACGGAGATGTCGATGCTGAAACTTCAGTTTGAGGACTGCCTCTTAGTCATTTGATGTCTTTTTTTTTTCTTTTCTTTTGTTTGAGAAACTAGGTCATATGCATGAATAGTATTCTCTAGGGCTACTCTCTATATTTATGAGATTTTATAGATGTTATTTGAATCGAATGTATTTTTAATGTGCTAATTTATTTCTAACCTAGCATGAATCTCATAATATTGTAGATATATTTTTTATATATAGAGCTTTGCATTTATTTATATGTCTATACAGTCAAACCTCTTATTGCAGATAACATTATTGAAGAGCATATTTGAATATCATGTTTAGCGACATTTTGAAAACCTCCATCTTCAGTGTTTTTGGTCTCTTTAATCCCTTATTTATCTAATTATTAAAAAATTATTAGAAATGTGCTCAATGTTTTTGTCCCATAAAATAATTTTATTATTTAATATTTTTTCTTATACTATGTAGATATTATATTTTTTATTTATTTATATTTAAAAAAAAAATTAATATTCAAAATTTATTTTAATTTGGGACTTACATTACAAGACTTTCCTTAAACCACATTATAAGATTTCAGTTAAAGTTTTAGCATTTAATACTTTGTTTTATAACTAATTGAAATTGTCAATGGATTTTAAAGACTTACTTTCAAAATTGATATAGATAGAAAGCTGAAAATTTAAAATAAAACAGAGGAATTATAAAATGGTACCTTTAAATGAAATATCAACTAAATAATTCCATAGCTGATGTTAAACTTTAGATAATCATGTGTTGTCAACTAGTAATGATAAACTTATTACAGGGACAGATAAGTCCTGTTGAAAATTTTGTTCTTTTTCAATGTCAAGTGGAAATAATATTAGTGTGTCTTAAGAGTTCCACCAGTGCATAAAGGGTTAAAAATGCTTTTTCTTCATTGTTTGGTGCTTAGTTTTTTTTTTTTTTTTTTCAATGACCTTTTTTTTTAAAATGTACTTATTTTTGGCAACTAGCAGTCATTATCTGCATATTTATAAAAATACAGTAAATTTATATATTTGTTATAAATATATTTGTTGTTAATTTTTATATTTTTTTTTTAGTTTATTTTCTGAAAATATGAAACGCTTGTGATCATTTTTTTTTATCTTAAATAATTTACCTCAAAAAATTCTTTTTAAACTTTTAAGAATGTAATGTTTATGCATGTATTACTATCTTTGGTAGATATACTTAATGATTCACATAACTCTATACAACACTAAACTGCCCGTTTCAAGACATGCCTTTTAAAGATTGCTACTGTATCATAATTTGAGAAAAAACTCTGAACATGCTGTGTTAAATCTTTAAATATATCAGTATTCTGGGGGGGGGATTATTTTATCATTGTAAATGCTTTCAAAGTAACTCATTTTGAGAAATTCACTAAAATGTTCTCAACATGTTTATTCAGTGAAGCTCTTCAATTGCCTGCAAAAATATTCTGCTGATTCACATGAAGCAGCTAAAATGTTGTGATTAAATGTGTGATTTAGATGTCTTGAGTCCTATTTTTTTTTTTTTTGCTATNTTTTTTTTTTTTTTTTTTTTTTTTTTTTTTTTTTTTTTTTGCTATCAAATATTTTGTCATCAGTATTTTTTAGAATTTTCTTTTCAATACACATAGTAATTATGAAATAACTTTGTCCTTTTGAGAATACCATTCTAGAAAACAGAATGAAGTTTTGTATAAAGAGTGTGTGCTCAAGAATAGTAATGAAATCAAGAATAATAAAGAATAACTTTACTCTATGTCATTCTAAAAAACAAAATTTTGTAAGAAAAGTTTGTCATCAAGAATAATGGAATCTATATCTAGCTCTCATTGTTACAAGGCATTTTTCAAACCATCTTTTTTTTATTAAGATCTTAAACCTTGTGTTTAAAATTTATTATTAATTAAGCTCCAACTAAAAATATTTGTTTGAGCAAAATTTTTTATCAGGAATAGTGAATGCATTCAAATACTGTGCTGCCTTGTTACAAAACACATTCTCTAAAGCTGAATTGTTGATACCTCCAAACTTTTTAAAATACTGTGCTGCTGGTTTTCATGCTAAAAATGACATTAAAACTCAATTTTGAGATTTTTAGTTTAAAAATCAGTTTTTACTAAGAAAAAGTATTTGTTGCCGTAGTAACTGTAACATGACGCATCAACTTCAACCCTATTCTTTTGTGCATACACTTTTATACAATATGGGAAGGGGATGAAATGTTATTTTCCAGTATATAAAGTTGAACTAAACTTGGGTTAATCCGAATAGCTTCTGTCACATTATAAATGTAAAAAATATTCATTTTGTAACTAAAAGAAATGCTCATTCAAATTACAATCGAGATGTGTGGATTTTAATTCAAGTGGGGATGATGAAAAATTTTAAACAATTCTATTAAAAAGTACAAATGAATAGTTCTAAAAAATTTGATGATTGAGTGCATAAGGAAAAGTATGACTTTCTCCTAAATAAGACTTTCAATCAACTGTGATTCGCTTTCATTTGAGTAAAGATCAGCGCTTTGTCACAACATATGAAATATTACTGAGATTTAAATTAATTGGTTCATTATACAGTGGGTTATGCCTGTATCAATTACAATCAGAGTTTTTGGAGTGTTAGCTTTGGTGGTTCATAACATATCTGCCAACATTGGTGAAATAAAAATGAGTTAAGACATCATGCATAATCATATAAGTCAAAAAGAGAAATTCGGAGCCATCAAGGCTCTTAAACTATTCACTAAACATACTGCAGTAGCACCATCTGTTGAGGAATAAGAGAAGTATTTTTGCCATCAGCGGATATTTTATCAGGAAAATAAATTTTCTTAAAATTTCTTCAACAAATACAGAGAAATTTGAATTTGAGAATATATGGGTATACAAGAGTCTTTGTTAGAAAACAGGAGACTTAGCAGGTTTGTCATAATAACTATTAAGACTGAAAGAAAAATCAATAAGATTATCGTTAATACTTATCTTTTTTCTCTTCTTGTTTCAATGTTAATTATTTTTTCATGTTTTATTTCAAATTTTGTGTTTTTTTTTTCATAATTAAATTATTTTAACTGATTGGTCTAGTTTTTCTTTTTTGGTGCTCCTCACACTATTGCATTGATATGACTATATTATACAATATCAGAAAGCATTCATTTTTATTTACATGAGTTGATAAAAAGATTTATCTTTTCACTCTTAAATTTTTTAATTAAGTAATTTTTTTTTTTAATTTTAATTTTTTTTCATAATTTTGATTTTATTAATAAATTATTATTTTAAATAATTATTTCTTATAATTTTTTATTTTAATTTTGTATGTTCTTTTCTTGTTTTCTGTCTGTAATTATATTTATATGCTTTGCAGCAGAATGTATTGAGCCGCACCATCTTCAGAAGTCAAAATTTGCCTGCAGTCAGGCAGAGAACTATTATTAAAAAAATAAGGTTTACCCAAATATATGCGTTGAAAAATTTTAATTCACAAATTTGTAGACAAAAATTTAATGCATGTTGTTTAATTTCAATTTGAAACACATGAAACTTAAAAAGTAAAATGGAGATTATCTGTTTATCAAAATTGCTAAGCTGATAAAATTAGGCAGATTAAATTAAAGTTTCTTTTTCAATGAACACTAGTTGAAATACATCATTCCAGACCCCCGAGGCAAAATCGCAGCAACTGTCGCAGAACGTTACAGAGTTCGTGCAGAAAGATGTTTTCTTTAACTAAGTGAAAAAGAAAAACCATTACCAAAACTTCTTAAAAACAATTGTTGCTCAATGATGTTTTATTAATGAAAGGTATCAGTTATTTATTTTTTTTTTACTCTTTCTGTTCCTTAGACCTAAAATAATCAGTTCATTTTTATAGAAATTATTGATTATTCTAGCTATTTGAGTTAGGCAGCATAAATTGATAGATAAACATTTCAATTTTTAATTAGATTTTGAAATGTAAACTATTTGCATTTTTTTTATTTATTTAGTGTATCTTTCAATTTAAATAATTAGTTACGTGATTAATTGGGAGGATTAGTTAATGATTAGCTTTACTAAAGGTAAAGAAAAAGAGATTTAACCAAAGAAAGTATTTAGAGTGAGAAAACAATCAAGATTTAATTTCTGTTTTGTGCAATTGTGTTTAATTTTATATGTTTAATAATTATTAAAAAGACATAGTGTATTTTTTTTTAATGAATAAAGTCATCATGTTTTTGTGTACGTGATTGTTTATTTGAATTCACTTGTTTTTAAGCTAGAAATTAAAATAATCAGCAGAATAAGCAAACAGTTGTGTCTAGTGAACCCAGGGCCAGATTGACCATTAAGCTAATTAAACACGTGTCCACAAAGCACCAATGAAAGAAGAAGAAAAAATTTTCTTGAATTTTTGTGTGGTTATTTTAATTTGATTATATGTTCTTACAAGCATTCATGGTTTGAACTACAATGCTATTCAGAATTGCCACTCCACAGGGAAAACATGGAAAATACAGGGAATTTAAAAATCACCTAAAATAACAGGGAAAATGCAGGGATTTTTGTTTCTTATTTTTGCCTTTTAAAAAATGGGGGCCACTCAAAGCGTAATCTATGGGATATTTTAATTATGATATTTCAGCTATACTAAACTATTTCATTTACTATAGCATTATTTAAATATGTTCAGCTGTTTTTCCAGCAATTAAAACAAATAAATATAATTAGCCCACTATAGCTCAAGCAAGAGCACAGTAATTGTTGTGTTTCCTCTTAATATATTGTGTATAATATGTACAGGGAATTTTTTTTTCAAGATTTGAATGGCAACTCTGCTATTGTTTTACATTTATTTCAATCCCGCGAGGGGAGAAAAAGTTGTGTGTTGCCGGTATCCCATCAAAAAATGACCAAGCCTTTTTCTTAACAGACGATCACTTACATAGTCGGTGAATACCTGAGATCTGACATACAAAACTAGAGCAGGGAAGTAACTTTGCGTAAACAAGGGTAAGTAACTGATTTTCCACACCAGGGGCTTAAATGTTTGTATTTGAATAAATATTTTCTTGGATGCAAAACCTGAGAAATAAATTTTTTTGCACCGCTGGTATATTAAATTTCACAATTATTAGAAATTATTTCCTAACCATCACTAGATAGCACCACTACACTTAGATTATGTCTTTCTTGGAGAAAAATATAAAGTTTTCAATGCATTTTTTCTTTACTTCAAAAAAAATTTTTTTTTACTTAGTAAAATACAAAATTTTTTTGAAATATAATACTTAAATTTGTTGTTTCTAAGCTCTTTTTGACCTACAAATTTTTCCCCAATAAAGATTCCAAAGAAAAGTATTAAATTTTTACATTTAATTTTCCTGGTTTCAGAGTGAGACCACTGTGCTCCTAGAACGTACGATGTTCCCACCAACGCATGTCCTCTTTCACTCAGGGGCCGAGCGGTATCGCCGGTCCAAACACTCTGTTAAGCGTGGAGGTAGCGGGTTCGAATCCCGCCGTAACCCTGGATGTATTCTTTGTGATGTCTTTCTCTGAATTGTTCTATCTGTATTTTCTACTTGACAATGACTTATAAGCCTATATTGAGCACACAAGTCAGCAAATGTATGTAATTTCAATAAAATAAATCAATCTTTCACTCATTCAGATAGTGAAGTAGATCAAAATTTATAAGGGTTTTTCGTTAGCATGGGGCTTATGTCTATTTTTATTGAAAATAAAGTTCCTGACTCCTGCAAGAATTACTTTTTACGTATTTCGCTTTATCTCTGGAAGTTGCTAAGGGAAGCAAAAAGTTTTAGCACAAAATTATAAAATTCATTTATCCGAATATAATTCCATGTAAAATAATTATTATAATTTATTTTATCTAGCGAAGGAATTCGAATTATGAAGTATTACATTGTTAAGTGTGTAGTCGAAAATTACATACTTTAAAATGGTGTAAAAATTTGTATATGTTACCGGTAAAGTATGAAACGCCGACATTGTATAGAATGCCGGATTTTTTAGGCAAAGTATGAAATGTGAGAATTATTACATACTTTCCCTAGGTATTGCATATAATGCCTAGGCATTCTATATAATGCCGGGTGCTATTTAGGCAAAGTATGAAATAAACGTCCTGATGAGGTTATTATGTAAATGGTGTGCATGTTACTGTGAATGACCGAAATCGGTGGTTGTTGACTTTCACCGGTGAATGTTGACAATCACATAATCGCTTTGGTGAATGTCCGAAATATTTATTACATCCGATTTGATATTAATTTATTCCTGGAAATAATTACATTTATTCTATATTTTAATACTTACTGACGATTGATTAGAAGAAACATCAGTGTTTGGAGTATCGGTCAAATATATACCCAGAAATAGCACTTGACTTTAAAAACACGCCAGTGTAGGGTATACCGAGCCACAGGTCAATTGCCGCAGGAAATGATAAACTGCCTGAATTCAAGTTTGAAATCACACTGCAAGGCCTGTAAGAGGGGATCATACCCCCCCCCCTATAAACCCATTTTCCTTTGTTTATTCTGCAACCGCTTTTTCATACCTTCCGACTCCAAAGAGTGTCACGTACGCTCATGCCTGTGTATTACAATTGTTGAATGGTTATTTGTTTTGTATCCATTTATGTACACGTCAGATTTCATTAAAATTGCTCCAGAGATAATAGACCCAGTCTGCAAATTCTCTGACTTCCTTTTACCAGCGTATTTGTTATGTCCACTTTGATATTAATTTATTCGTGGATATTTTAACATTTATTAATAGTAACAAATTTTAATATCCAATAAGGTGTCATTCGGTAAAATATCGGAGTTGTAAATATCTGGAAAATCCATGCATACTCACTGGTAAAGTCCCTCCGCGCGGAAGAAGTTAGACTTCGTAACCTGCGACGTTAATTGTAGAAGAATCAGCAGTCGTAGAAGGATCACTAGTTCTATTCAACGACTCTTTTTCCTGCTCCGCTCGCTTCCGTGCTCTGTAATAACGGTAATATTGTGCATTTTTCCCTCGTGGACCTCTTGAACCAGTGGAAGTGCTTGTGGTTGCCTCATCTTCTCTCCCTGGAAAATGTATTTGTAGTAATAATGTATGTGAGTGCGTCATAATGTAATTTCAAAAGAGAAAACCTAACAATCAATTGATATTCACTAGAGACGTACCTTGACATAATCTTAAATCCGTCGCATTATCCGTGGGATTGTTTTCAGTCATTTTTTACAATTGTTATCCACTAAATTTGAAAATAAAAAATACTACCCTATTAAATTATACGTGTATCAAAACAAAATAAAAAAAAAATAGTGCGTGGAGTCCCTCCGCGCGGAAGAAGTTAAACTTCGCAACCTGCGACGTTAATTGTAGAAGAATCAGCAGTCGTAGAAGGATCACTAGTTCTATTCAACGACTCTTTTTCCTGCTCCGCTCGCTTCCGTGCTCTGTAATCACGGTAATATTGTGCATTTTTCCCTCGTGGACCTCTTGAACCAGTGGCAGTGCTTGTGGTTGCCTCATCGCCACGCCGTGGAAAATGTATTTGTAGTAATAATGTATGTGAGTGCGTCATAATGTAATTTCAGAAGAGAAAACCTAACAATCAATTGATATTCACATGAGACATACCTTGACATAACCTTAAATCCATCGCATTGTCCGTGGGATTGTTTTCACTCGTTT